TGGGGTCCAGGCTGCCCCGGCTCCTGGGGCAGGCGCCGTGGGTCCGGGTGCCGGCGGGGACCGGAGTGGAAGCGAGCAAAGGAGCCGTGGGGTCGTCGGTGGGGAGGCCGTTGAGCTGGTGGGGATGGAGGGGGTCAGGTGGGGATGGAGGGGGAGAAAAGGGGACGGGGGGGTAGGTGGGGATGGAGGGGGCAGGTGGGGATGGGGGGGAGTAGATGGGGATGGGGGGCAAAAGGGGATGAAGGGGGGGCAGAAGGGGATGGAGGGGGGCTGATGGGGATGGAGGGGGGGCAGAAGGGGATGCGGGGAAAGGGAATGGAGGGGGGAAATAGGGGATGGAGAGGGGGTAGATGGGGATGGAGGGGGCAGGTGGGGATGGGGGGGAGTAGATGGGGATGGGGGGCAAAAGGGGATGAAGGGGGGGCAGAAGGGGATGGAGGGGGCTGATGGGGATGGAGGGGGGTAGAAGGGGATGGAACTGGGGCGGATAGGGATGGAGGAGCAGAAGAAGGGGATGGAATTGGGGCAGATGGGGATGGAGGGGAGCAGAAGGGGATGGAGGGGAGCAGAAGGGGCGCAAAAGGGGATGGGGGGGGCAGAAGGGGATGGAACTGGGGCGGATGGGGATGGAGGGGGATAGATGGTGATGGGGGGGGGCAGAAGGGGATGGAACTGGGGCGGATGGGGATGGAGGGGGATAGATGGTGATGGGGGGGCGGAAGGGGATGGAACTGGGGCGGATGGGGGCGGCCCCACGGCTCTGCCCCAGACCCCCGCCGTGTTCCCGGTCTCAGCCCCCCAGCGCCCGCCAGGGGGCCCCATCCTGCTCCCCCCCCGCCCCGCACGCACCTGCCGGGCCGTGCCCTTGGGCTGAGCACGGGAGGAGGCAGCGAGGGGGGCTCGGTCTTCACCGGGGGTGCGGGTCCGGGCAGGGAACCAGGGCCCCCGCTTGTCCTCCGGGGCGCTCTCCTCCTCCTCCTCCTCCTCCTCCTCTTCCTCCTCCTCCTCGGTGGGGTCCGATGGGGCCTCGGGCACCGGGAGCCCCGGGTCCCCCTTCCCGGGGCTGCTGTCGGGGGTGAGCACGGAGCCCTTGAGCAGGGAGGCCTGGGTCTGGCTGAGCCAGGACAGGAACGCCGATTGACTGAGGTCGTGCTGGCTCTGCCCCACGGCCAGCGGCTCCTCCAGCGCCCCATTGAGCAGGGGCGGCGGGGGCCGGGGCCCGCAGTGCTGGGGCAGCTCCTCCTTGCTCTTGCGGGGCCGGCCCCGGGACCGCGATGCCGGGGGGGGCACCCGGGTGGCGACGGGCACCGGCACCGGCTCCGGCTTCACCGGGGGCACCTTCTCCTCCTGCGGGGGCTCCGGCTCTGCCGCTGCAGGGAGGCGATGGGGCCGTTGGGAGCCATTCCCCGGTGTGGGGTGTGTGGGGGGGGTCCCCTCCATCCCTGCCCCACACTCACCCTCCGCGCCCTCCACGAAGATGCCGCCCAAGTGGGGCAGGACCCAGTAGCGCCGCCGGTACCGGTCCTGCCCCAGCGATGCCGCTCGCAGCGTCTGCGAGGAGTGGAGCAGCTTCTTGCGGAAGAACATCTGCCTCTATGGGGAGAGCGCAGCGTGGGGCCGGGCCCCACAGAGCCCCACAGAACCCCGCGGTGGGGCTGGACCCCCCCCACCCCATCGCCCGCTCACCTTGGCCAGCTTCTCGATCTGCCGCTCGAGCTCGGGGATGCTGGAGCCGGACGCGTCGAGCTGGGGGCGGGATGGGGGCAGTGAGGGAGCAGCGATGGGGATGGAGCCCCCGCCCCACGGCTGCGCCCCACGGGGCACCCACCTCGTCCTCCCTGCGGGAGCGGCGGCCCCGCTTCTCCTCCTCCTCCTCCTCCTCGTCCACGTCCAGGGCCGGGTCCTCGCTGAGGCGGGAGCTGCGCCGCCGCCGCCCGGGCTCCAGCCCCGGGAGCTCCGACTCGGGCCGCCCGGTTCTCTTGGCCAGGGCCACCTTGAGCCTGCCCCACACAGCACGGGGCTCACTGCCCGCCCACTGCCTGCCCCACACAGCACGGGGCTCACTGCTGCCCACTGCCTGCCCCACACAGCACGGGGCTCACTGCCCGCCCCACTGCCCGCCCCACTGCCTGCCCCATTGCCTGCCCCACTGCCTGCCCCACACAGCACGGGGCTCACTGCCTGCCCCACTGCCTGCCCCATTGCCTGCCCCACTGCCTGCCCCACACAGCACGGGGCTCACTGCCTGCCCCACTGCCTGCCCCACTGCCTGCCCCACACAGCACGGGGCTCACTGCCTGCCCCACTGCCTGCCCCACTGCCTGCCCCACACAGCACGGGGCTCACTGCCTGCACCACTGCCTGCCCCACTGCCTGCCCCACACAGCACGGGGCTCACTGCCTGCCCCACTGCCTGCCCCATTGCCTGCCCCACACAGCACGGGGCTCACTGCCTGCCCCACTGCCTGCCCCATTGCCTGCCCCACACAGCACGGGGCTCACTGCCCGCCCCACTGCCTGCCCCACTGCCTGCCCCACTGCCTGCCCCACACAGCACGGGGCTCACTGCCTGCCCCACTGCCTGCCCCATTGCCTGCCCCACACAGCACGGGGCTCACTGCCTGCCCCACTGCCTGCCCCATTGCCTGCCCCACACAGCACGGGGCTCACTGCCTGCCCCACTGCCTGCCCCACACAGCACGGGGCTCACTGCCCGCCCCACTGCCTGCCCCATTGCCTGCCCCACACAGCACGGGGCTCACTGCCTGCCCCACTGCCTGCCCCATTGCCTGCCCCACTGCCTGCCCCACACAGCACGGGGCTCACTGCCCGCCCCACTGCCTGCCCCATTGCCTGCCCCACTGCCCGCCCCACTGCCTGCCCCACTGCCTGCCCCACTGCCTGCCCCACACAGCACGGGGCTCACTGCCCGCCCCACTGCCTGCCCCATTGCCTGCCCCACTGCCTGCCCCACACAGCACGGGGCTCACTGCCCGCCCCACTGCCTGCCCCATTGCCTGCCCCACACAGCACGGGGCTCACTGCCTGCCCCACTGCCTGCCCCACTGCCTGCCCCATTGCCTGCCCCACACAGCACGGGGCTCACTGCCCGCCCCACTGCCTGCCCCATTGCCTGCCCCACACAGCACGGGGCTCACTGCCTGCCCCATTGCCTGCCCCACTGCCTGCCCCACACAGCACGGGGCTCACTGCCCGCCCCACTGCCTGCCCCATTGCCTGCCCCACACAGCACGGGGCTCACTGCCTGCCCCACTGCCTGGCCCGTTGCCTGCCCCACACCGCACGGGGCTCACTGCCCGCCCCACTGCCTGCCCCATTGCCTGCCCCACTGCCTGCCCCACACAGCACGGGGCTCACTGCCCGCCCCACTGCCCGCCCCACACAGCACGGGGCTCACTGCCTGCCCCACTGCCTGCCCCACTGCCCGTCCCACACAGCACGGGGCTCACTGCCTGCCCCATTGCCTGCCCCACTGCCTGCCCCACACAGCATGGGGCTCACTGCCCGCCCCACTGCCTGCCCCATTGCCTGCCCCACACAGCACGGGGCTCACTGCCTGCCCCACACAGCACAGGGCTCACTGCCTGCCCCATTGCCCCACTGCCTGCCCCATTGCCCATCTCATTGCCTGCCCCACTGCCTCATTGCCCACCCCACTGCCTCATTGCCCATCCCATTGCCTGCTCCATTGCCTCACTGCCCATCCTGCTGCCTGCCCCACTGCCTGCCCCATTGCCTGCTCCATTGCCCCACTGGGCACCTGGCTCCACCACAGTCATCCTGAGCCCCCCAGCCCTAGGACATGGAGGGGAAGGAGCAGAGGCCACAAGCAGGACCCCTGTGTCAATGGGGCACATGCAGCAGTATGCACCGCATCAATGGGGCACGCACAGCAGGACCTGCTGCATCAATGGGGCACGCACAGCAGGACCTGCTGCATCAATGGGGCACGCACAGCAGGACCTGCTGCATCAATGGGGCACAATCAGCAGGACCCACTGCATCAATGGGGCACTCGCAGCAGGATGCCGTTTGTCAATGGGGCACAAGCAGCAGGCCTCAATCCATCAATGGGGCACACACAGCAGGACGTGCTCCATCAATGGGGCACACACAGCAGGACGTGCTCCATCAATGGAGCACACACAGCAGGCCCCACTCCATCAATGGGGCACACACACCAGGCCCCACAGCATCCATGGGGCACACACAGCAGGACCTGCTCCATCAATGGGGCACACACAGCAGGACCTGCTCCATCAATGGAGCACACACAGCAGGACCCACTGCGTCAATGGGGCACACACAGCAGGACCTGCTCCATCAATGGGGCACACACAGCAGGACCCACTGCGTCAACGGGGCACACACAGCAGGATGTGCTCCATCCACTGGGCATAGGCAGCTGCCCCACGGCACCCATGGGGCACACACAGCGAAACGTGCTCCATCCACCATCCATGGGCACACAAACAGCAGGGCCCCACGGCACCCATGGGGCACACAGAGCAGGACCTGCTCCATCCATGGGGCACACACAGCAGGCCCCACGGCACCCATGGGGCACACAGAGCAGGACCTGCTCCATCCATGGGGCACACACAGCAGGCCCCACGGCACCCATGGGGCACACAGAGCAGGACCTGCTCCATCCATGGGGCACACACAGCAGGCCCCACGGCACCCATGGGGCACACAGAGCAGGACCTGCTCCATCCATGGGGCACACACAGCAGGCCCCACGGCACCCATGGGGCACCGGGCAGCACCCACCTGCGCAGCCGCCCCTCGATGATCCACTTGTTCTTCCTGTAGCCGGCCATGCTCTCCAGGCTCTTGTCGATCTCACTGCAGGGGGAGACGCCGGTGGGGCCGGGGCCATGGGGCCGGGGCTCAGCTCTGCCCCACTGACACCCACCTGATGATGAGGGCGCTGCCGTTGAGCTCGTCCACCAGGAAGGCCAGGATGGAGGCTTGGGTGGCCGGGGGCAGCGCCTGGAAGGGTTTGGTCCTGAGCCCCCCGCAGAGCTCCTCGCCCGCCCCACGCGCAGTCAGGAAGCAGCGCAGGACCTCGGACACGGTCTCGCGGCTCAGGCTGATCTCGGCCACCTTCTCCCCCAGGATCTTCAGGGACTGGGAGCAGCAAAGGGAGGGCTCAGGCCCCGTCCGAGCACCCCAAGGGATGGGGGGGGAATGGGGCTGGGAATGGGGCGAGGGATCAGGGGTTGGAAATGGGGTCAGGATTAGGGCCGGGATTGGGGTCAGGGCTGGGGCCAAGAAAGGGATTAGGGGCAGGATCGGGGTCAGGAATGGGGCAGGGAATGGGGCACGGATTAGGGCTGGGCTGGAATGCGAGCAGGAAGTGGGGCTGGGGCAGGACTTGTAGCCGGGATCAGGGCCAGGACTAAGGCAGGAAATGGGGACCGGGTTCAGGATGGGGCAGGGAATGGCGCTGGGATGGGACCACATCTGCCCTCACCTGGCAGTAAAGGGGCAGGGATGGGATCAGGGCAGGGGTGGGATGGGGATGGGATGGGATCAGGACCACATCTCCCCTCACCTGGCAGTATGGGGGCAGGGATGGGATGGGATGGGATGGGATGGGATGGGATGGGATGGGATGGGATGAAGGCAGGGATGGGATGGGGATGGGATGGGGCAGGGATGGGATGGGATGGGGGAGGGATGGGATGGGGCAGGGATGGGATGGGGCCCCCATCTCCCCACCTGGCAATAGTGGGGCAGGGATGGGGATGGGATGGGGATGGGCAGGGATGGGGATGGAGCAGAGATGGGGATGGAATGGGGATGGGATGGGGATGGGATGGGGATGGGATGGGGATGGGATGGGGCAGGGATGGGATGGGGATGGGATGGGGCAGGGATGGGGATGGGATGGGGCAGGGATGGGGCAGGGATGGGGCCCCCATCTCCCCACCTGGCAGTAGTGGGGCAGGCCGGGGTCGCCGAGCGCGGCGCGCAGCAGCCTCACGAGCAGGTCCTGCAGCCGCCCCGCGCTGTCGCCCAGCCCCAGCAGCCCCTCCTGCAGCGCGCTCAGGCTCGGCACGTCCCGGCCGGGCTCCAGCCCCAGCACGCGCCCGTAGCTCTGCAGGAACTCCACCACCGCCAGGCACCGCGAGAAGGCAGCGCCCGGCAGCACCAGCCCGGGATGCGCGACAGCGCCGGCAGCGGCTGCGGGACGGACACCGGTGCTTGCGGTCGGCGGCACCGGGGCACGGCGACGGCAGCACCGGTGTCCCGGTGACCCCCCCCCATCGCAGGTACCTGGTGGTCCCCCAGGCACATGTCCTCCGTCGGCTTCTTCATCTCCTCCAGGAGCTGCTGCTGCCGCCGCCGCTGCTCCAGGCGCCGCTGCGCCGCCAGCCCCTTGTCCGCCCTGCGAGCGCCTTTGCCCTTCCTCTCCTTGGCTCGGGCTTTTGTCTTTGCCCTTCTCCGCTTTGCCCTTCTTCTCCTTGGCCTAAAGGAGGAGTTGGGGGGGCGGAGAGGAGGGGATGCGTGGGGACGCACCCACCCCTTCCGTCTCCCTGCCCCACGCATCCCCATGCGCTCACCTTGCACTTCTTCTTGGCCTCCTTCGCTCTGGGGGCTTTGGCTTCTTGCTTCTGCTTGTTCTTCGCCTGGAAGGGACCGAGCCCACGCTCAAGGACCCAACGGGACCCCCAGCACCCCCCCCCCCCCCACCGCGTCCCCTCCTCGCACCTTCCTCCTCATCTTCTTCTTGATCTTGCTCATCTTGAGCTTGTCCTCGTCGCTCAGCACCTCTATGGGGGCAGAGAGGGATGGAGCCCCGGGACCCACGGCCGGGGTCCCCCCCCCAGCCCCACGGGGGCCGTACCTTGGGCCTCCAGCCTCTTGAGCAGCCGCGCATCCGTCTTGCTCAGCAGCTCCAGCATCCGGGCCTTGGGGGGGCGGCCCCGGCCCCGCTTGGCCGCCGGCGCCTCCTTGGCCTTGGGCTTCTCGGCGTTGCGGGGCCGCCCGCGCTTGCCCGTGATGGCCTGGATGCGGGACGGGATCTCCTCGGGGCTCAGCTGCACCCACTGCGGGCCCTGCGCCACGACACGGGGTCACCGCTCTGAGGGGTCAGCGCGTGGGGGGGGACGTGGGGGGGACGTGGGGGACATGGGGGGGGATGTGGGGGGGACGTGGGGGGGACGTGGGGGGATGTGGGGGGGAAGTGGGGGGAACATGGAGTTGACATGCGGGGGACCTGGGGGGGGACCTGGGGGGGACATGGGGGGGGATGTGGGGGGGGACGTGGGGGGGGCGTGGGGGGGGAATATGGGGGGGACGTGGGGGGGACATCGGGGGGGACGTGGGGGGGGATGTGGGGGGGACGTGGGGGGGGTGGGGGGAATATGGGAGGGACGTGGGGGGGACATCGGGGGGGACGTGGGGGGGATGTGGGGGGAACATGGAGGGGACATGGGGGGGGCACGTGGGGGGGACATGTGAGGGGACGGGGGGGGACGTGGGGGACGTGGGGGGGATGGGGGGGGGACGTGGGGGGGGACGTGGGGGGAACATGGAGGGGACATGGGGGGGGACGTGGGGGGACATTGGGGGGACATGGGGGGGGACGTGGGGGGAACATGGAGGGGACATGGGGGGGGACATGGGGGGGACATCGGGGGGGACGTGGGGGGGACATGGAGTTGACATGCGGGGGACCTGGGGGGGGACATGGGGGGGACATGGGGGGGGACGTGGGGGGGATGTGGGGGGGATGCTGGGGGGGATGTGGGGGGAACACGGAGGGGACATGCTGGGGACCTGGGGGGGGACATGGGGGGGACATGGGGGGGATGTGGGGGGGACGTGGGGGAGACGTGGGGGGGATATGGAGGGGACATGCAGGGGACCTGGGGGGGAGACATGGGGGGGGCATGGGGGGGATGTGGGGGGACATCGTGGGGGGACGTCGGGGGGGGACGTGGGGGGAACATGGAGGGGACATGCAGGGAACATGGGGGGGGACGTGGGGGGGACGTGGGGGGGACATGTGAGGGGACGGGGGGGGACATTGGGGGGACATGGGGGGGGACGTGGGGGGGTGGCCCCGGACCCACCTCCGGCGTCTCCCGCTCCTCATAGAAGTCCCCCACGGGCATCCGGGGGCTGAAGCTGAAGTGCTCGCGGCGCACGTCCTGCACCACGTTCCTGCTCAGGTACTGCCGAGGAGGAGGAGGAGGAGGAGGAGGAGGGAGATGAAGGCGGCCATGGGGGGGGGGGTCAGGGGTTGGGGGCTCGGGGCTGTCCCCGTACCTTGATCACCTCGGGGAACTGCTTCATCCTCTTCCCGCAGGGGCCGTAGTACCACGTCTCCCCCTGCCACCGGTGGTTCCCTTCTTGATCCGCACCTCGCGCCTCCACCTGCGCGCAGGCAGCGTCAGCCCCGTGCTATGGGGCAGCCGTGGGGCGAGGCATGGGGCGGGGGGGACACGGGGCGGATGGACACGTACCCGCGCTGCAGCGGGAAGCGCACCTCCTCCGGCGTGGCGATGCGGCGGCGAGGGGCATCCCCTGTGGGGCAGGGGACGGGCGCTGGGCTCGGTGCTGCTGATGGGGGGCTCACAGAGGGGTTCAATGGGGGGGGGGGGGGTCCGGACCTACCTGATGCTGAGGAGCTCAGCGCCGCCGCCCCCGGCGCGGAGGGAGCCTCGGGGCTGCTGTCGGCGGCTTCCTCCTCCTCCTCCTCCTCCTCTTCCTCCTCCTCCTCTTCCTCCTCCTCGGATGGGGCCGGGGACTCCGGGGTCCCCACCGTGGGGTCCAGCTCCAGGGACCCCGACTCCTCCAGCCCCACGTGGCTGCTGCTGTTCAGGTCCACGCTGCTCTCTATGGGGCCAAGGGCGGGGGCGTCACCATAGCATGGGGAGGGGGCGGGCTGGTACCCAGAGCGCATCCCTATGGGCTCCCCATAGCCCCGCTGTGGGGCACGCACCGTGCAGCGCGGGGGAGCCGGGCCCGGCGAGCAGCGGGGGAGCCAGGAGGCTGAAGGGGCCATCGTGATCGTGCAGGTCGGGGGGGTCCCCAAGGGGGGATTTGTCCCCCACGAGCTGCGCAGCATCCATGGCATAGAGATCCCCGGCGCCGGCATCTGCGGGGGAAGCATCAGGGATGGAGGGGGGGGGGGGGGGACACGGGCACAGACCCACATCTGCCCCCCCCCCCGGCCCCAAAGCGGTGACCAGGGACCGGCACCGGAGGGGTTAAAGGGGTTTGGGAGCCCCCGGCCCCGCCTCCGGGAAGCGGAGCCCAAAATGGCCGAGGTGGATGCGGAGCCGCGGAAGTTGGGCGCTGAGCGCCCGCCCCACGGCCCCGTAGCCCCGGCCCTACCTGCGCCCAGCGCCCCGAAGGGCTCCAGGGGGTCCTCGCTGAGGATGGGGGCATCGTCCAGGCGGGGGGCGAGGGGAGACGCGGCCCCAAGCCCCGGCCCCACCGCGCCGGGGGCAGCCCCGTTGTAGCCGCACATCTTGAGCTCTAAAAGGGAACCACGGAGACGTCGCGCACCCCACAGCGACCGGGAGTGGGGGGGGGGGGTTGAACCCGGCCCCACAGCGCCCGCCAGCACCGGGACCTACCCGGCTGCGCCTCCTCCAGCTCCATGCTGCCCACGAGCCCGCCGCCGTTCGCGGCCAGAGCCGCCGGGATGCCCTTGCCCGCCGCATCGCCGCCTCCATCGCCGGTACCCGGCTCCTCCGCGAAGGGCTGAGCGGCCCCATAGAACCCGGCGGCCCCGTTGGGCATCAGCTCGTGGAAGGAGCCGTAGAGCTCCTGCGAGTCGAAGCTGAGCCCCATGGCCCCCGGCGCCGCCGTTGCCCCACGGCTCCGGTGCGGGCGAGCGGAGGTCGGGGCCGTGCCCCGGGAGGAGCAGCGGCGGCGGCGGCGGCGGCGGCGGCGGGGACGAGCGCGGGTCCTTGAGGCCGGCGCAGGGGGAGAAGTCCCAGAGGCAGTCGAAGGAGCGCAGGGGCTGCGCGCCCGCGGGGGGGGAGCTGGGGGTCAGCGGCCCCCCGGCACCGGGCGGCGGCAGCGCGGGGAAGCCGTTGGGGCTCGAGCCCCCGTTGAGGCCTGCGGGGGGAGAGCCCGAGGTGAGGAGCGAGGGGCCGGGGGTTAAGGGGATGCCTGGGAGCGGATGGGGCGAGGGGGGGGGGAAGGCACCAGCGGCCGGCCCTATGGGGACATCGTGGTCCTATGGGGACATCGTGGCCCTATGGGGACATCGTGGTCCTATGGGGATATCGTGGCACCTATGGGGACATTGTGGCCCTATGGGGACATCGTGGTCCTATGGGGACATTGTGGCCCTATGGGGACATCATGGCCCTATGGGGACTCCATGGCACCTATGGGGACATCGTGGTCCTATGGGGACATCATGGCCCTATGGGGACTCCATGGCACCTATGGGGACATCGTGGCACCTATGGGGACATCGTGGTCCTATGGGGACATCGTGGTCCTATGGGGATATCGTGGCACCTATGGGGACATTGTGGCCCTATGGGGACATCGTGGTCCTATGGGGACATTGTGGCCCTATGGGGACATCATGGCCCTATGGGGACTCCATGGCACCTATGGGGACATCGTGGCACCTATGGGGACATCGTGGTCCTATGGGGACATCGTGGTCCTATGGGGACTCCATGGCACCTATGGGGACATTGTGGCCCTATGGGGACATCGTGGTCCTATGGGGACATTGTGGCAGCTATGGGGACATTGTGGTCCTATGGGGACATCATGGTCCTATGGGGACTCCATGGCACCTATGGGGACATTGTGGTCCTATGGGGACATTGTGGCCCTATGGGGACATCGTGGTCCTATGGGGACATTGTGGCCCTATGGGGACATCATGGCACCTATGGGGATATCGTGGTCCTATGGGGACTCCATGGCACCTATGGGGACATCGTGGTCCTATGGGGACATCGTGGCACCTATGGGGACATTGTGGCAGCTATGGGGGACATCGTGGTCCTATGGGGACATCGTGGCCCTATGGGGACTCCATGGCACCTATGGGGACATCGTGGTCCTATGGGGACATTGTGGCCCTATGGGGACATCGTGGTCCTATGGGGACATCGTGGTCCTATGGGGACTCCATGGCACCTATGGGGACATCGTGGTCCTATGGGGACATCGTGGTCCTATGGGGACATCGTGGCACCTATGGGGACATCATGGTCCTATGGGGATATTGTGGTCCTATGGGGACTCCATGGCACCTATGGGGACATCGTGGTCCTATGGGGACATCATGGCCCTATGGGGACTCCATGGCACCTATGGGGACATTGTGGTCCTATGGGGACATCGTCATCCTATGGGGACATCATGGCACCTATGGGGACTCCACAGCACCTATGGGGACTCCACAGCACCTATGGGGACATTGTGGTCCTATGGGGACATCATGGCAGCTATGGGGACATTGTGGTCCTATGGGGACATCAGGGCCCTATGGGGACATCATGGCCCTATGGGGACTCCATGGCACCTATGGGGACATCACGGCCCTATGGGGACTCCATGGCACCTATGGGGACATCATGGCACTTATGGGGACATCATGGTCCTATGGGGACATCATGGCACCTATGGGGACTCCATGGCACCTATGGGGACATCGTGGCCCCTATGGGGACACCACGGGCCCAATGGGGACACCATGGCCCTATGGGGACATCATGGCCCCCATGGGGACACCATGACCCTATGGGGACACCACGGCCCCCATGAGGACACCATGACCCCCATGGGGACACCATAACCCCTATGGGGCCACCACTGCCCTATGGGGACACCATGGCCCTATGGAGCCACCATGGCCCCTATGGGGACACCATGGCCCTATGGAGCCACTATGACCCCCATGGGGACACCATAACCCCTATGGGGACACCACAGCCCTATGGGGCCACCACAGCCCTATGGGGCCACCATGACCCCTATGGGGCCACCATGACCCTATGGGGCCACCATGACCCTATGGGGCCACCACAGCCCTATGGGGCCACTATGACCCCTATGGGGCCACCATGGCCCTACGCCCACACTTACTTTTCCCTTGTGGGGAGAAGCCGAGTGCGGAGCCGGGGGCGAAGGGGCTGTCCCCTGCGGCAGGGCCCGGTTTGGCTCCCGCGGCAGCGGGCGCGGAGCTGAAGCCCAAGGGGGAGTTCGCTTCCATGGCTGCAGAGGGGACGAGAGGCGCTGAGGGGCCCGGTGCAGGATGAGCCCCATGGCCAGGCCCCGGGAGCCGCTGCCCCCCCCCCATAACCCCGGGCTCTGCCCCCCACGGGTGCCAGCGCCGCAGCCGGATCCTCGGTGACCTTCACCGGTGGGGAGCAGCTTTGACCCCCCCCAAGCACCGAGCGATGGGGACAGCACCCACTTGTGCCCCCCCCCTTCCCCAAGTGGGTGCCGGTGGAGGAGATGGGAGCCCCGGTGATTGACCCCTATGGGTGCTACTGGGGTGGCACCGGTGGGTTGGGGGGGGGGAAGGGATGTGATGGATGCAGAGGGGAGAACCGGGATATGGGGGGGGGGGGGGGGGGGGGGGAGCCCCGGCAGCGGCACGTGACCGGGAACGGAGCCGCCAAGGGGGCCCCGGTTCGGAACCGGAGCCGGGGCACGGAGCGGGGTCCCCGCGGAGCCCGGTAACGGCGGCGCCGGGCGCAGGACGAGCCCCGGTTCCAAAGGACGCTCCCGGCCCCTGCAGCCGCAGTCACCGGAGCCACGAACCGGGCGCTTCCTGCGGGGGGGGGGGGGGGCACCGGGAACCCCCCTCCCCTCCCCCCCCATAACCGGGTCCCGTTGGGATGGAGGAGCCCCCTCCCCCCCCCCCCTCCGCAAAGGGGGGGTCCAAGGAGGCGGAACCGGACTGGGGGAGGGGGAGGGGCACAAAGATGGGGGGAGGGGCACGGGGACTCCCTTTACGTGCGGGATGGTGGGGGGGGGGGGGGGAGGTCACCGAGTGCCGGTAACGGAGGTGGGGGGAGGGCACGGGGGTGTTTTACCGGACACCGCAGCGGGGGGGATCCCTCCCCGCACCCCTCCCCCCGCAACCGCTTCCCCTCCCCCCTCCCCCGTTAACAGCCGCGGCCCCGCGTTACCGGTGCCGTTCCCGTTCCCGTTCCCGTCCCGCCCCGGGCCCGGCTCAGGCGGTGCGGGCCGGGACGCGGCTCCGCGGGGCTCGGTCCCTCCGCGAGGACCGGACCGGGCCGGGCCCGGGCGGCGGCGGCGGCGGCGGCGCAGGGCAGGAAGCGGCGGCCCCAGCTCCGCCCCCCCCCCCCCCCCCCCCCCCAACGTCACCGCCGCCGCGATCGCGTCACCGGGAGCGGCGCGCGCGTCACCGGGAAGGGGGAGGGGGGGATGGGATGGGATGGGGGGGGCGGAGCCAAGCGCCCACGTGGGGGAGGGGGGGGGATTCCCCCCGCTCTGACCCCCCCCACCCCCAACCCAACCCCCCCCCAACCCCCAAACGCAGCCGGACCCCCGGAATCCCCGGTGACGTCACGCGGTGCGCAGGGCCCCGGTACCGGTTGTGGAGGGGGGGTCCCGGTGCGGTCCCAAAGGGAACGGGGGGGGGGGAGGGGGGGATACGGGGATATCTCGGCCCCGTGCGCGACACCGGGGGGGGGGGGGGGAGGGGGGGGCCGTGGTGCTGAGTCCGTTCACCGAGACGTGGGTCCCGGTACAGCCCCGGGGGGGGGGGGGGGGGGGGCTCCGTGTCCGGCCCAGGGCGGACCCATGGGGGGGGGGCAGCGCCCCGGTACCTACTTATGGGGTGCGGGGGAGGGGGGCAGCCCCGATGTGCATCGATGGGGGGGGACCCCCGGTACGTACCTATGGAGGGGTGCGGGGGGGGGGAGCCCCGGTGCCCGCCCGGCGCGCTCCCGGTGCCGGTCCCGGTGTCGCGCAGGTGCTCCCGGCCCCGCGTGATGTCAGCGGCCGCCACCGCCCCCTCCGCCGCGGGGACGCGCCGCCATTTAAAGGGACCGCGGCCCCGTTTGGGTTCAGGGTGTTCCCCCCCCCCCCAAACCCCAACCCCGCTTTAACCCGGGGGTGCAGCGCTTGTGGGGACCCCTCCCCATTGCGAACCCCCCCCCCCCCCGGTGCTCCCGGTACCGCGGCCCCCCCCCCCCCCGGGGTGAAGCTGCAGCAGCCGTGCCCATAGGGCTTTGTGCTGTAAAATGGTGGAGCCCCATGGGGGGGGACGCACTGGGACCAGGCCCCCCCATAACAACCGGCTTGGGGGTGCGTTTGTGTGACCCCCATCTCCTGCCCCCTCCCTCCCCCCCCACTTGAGCCCATTGCCCCCCCATAGCTCACACGAGGCCCCCGGGAGTGTTTTCAACTGATGTTTTATTGGAAATGTTAAATATTGGGGAGGGGGAGGCCCCGGTTTTGGGGGGGGGGGGGGGCGGGTCCGGTGTTGTTGGGGGGGGGGGGGGGGCACGTTCAGGCGTGTTCTTCAGCCAACTTCTCCGCCTTGGCCACCGCCTCCTCGATGGGCCCCACCATGTAGAAAGCTTGCTCGGGGAGATGGTCGTATTCACCTGTGGGGAGATGGGGGGTGAAGAGGAGGAGAAAGGGGGGGATGACACCCCCAAAACATCCGTGTGTCCCCATCCCCATCCCGGTTCTCTGTGTACCCGCCAGGATCTGCTTGAAGCCCTTGATGGTCTCCTGCAGCGGCACCAGTTTGCCCATGTGGCCGGTGAAGACCTCGGCCACTTGGAAGGGTTGGGATAAGAAGCGTTGGATCTTGCGGCCCGCGCCACCGTCAGCTTGTCCTCCTCGGAGAGCTCGTCCATGCCCAGGATGGCGATGATGTCCTGCAGGGACTTATAGTCCTGCAAAGAGCAGAAAACAGGGGGGGGGCGAGGGTGAGCGGCTCCACGTGCACCCCCCTAGCTTCCTACGGGGGGCAGCCCTGGATCCCTCACCTGCAGGATCTTCTGCACCCCTCGAGCCACGTCGTAGTGCTCGGGCCCCACGATGTTGGGGTCCATGATGCGGGACGTGGAGTCCAAGGGGTCCACGGCGGGGTAGATGCCCAGCTCGGCGATGGCGCGGGACAGCACCGTCGTGGCGTCCAAGTGGGCGAAGGTGGTGGCAGGGGCAGGGTCGGTCAAGTCATCGGCTGGCACGTAGATGGCCTGGGGATGGAAGGACGATGGGATGGAGGGACGATGGGATGGAGGGGATGATGGGGATAGGAAGGGACGATGGGGATGGAGGGACGATGGGATGGAGAGGATGATGGGGATGGAGGGGATGATGGAGGGACGATGGGGATGGAGGGGATGATGGAGGGACGATGGGGATGGAGGGACGATGGGGATGGAGGGACGATGGGGATGGAGGGACGATGGGGATGGAGGAACGATGGGGATGGAGGGACGATGGGGATGGAGGGACGATGGGATGGAGGGGATGATGGGGATGGAGGGGACGATGGGGATGGAGGAGATGATGGGGATGGAGGGGACAATGGGATGGAGGGACAATGGGATGGAGGGGACGATGGGGAGAAGGGACAAAGGGGATGGAGGGGACGATGGGGATAGGAAGGGACAATGAGGATGGAGGGGACAGTGGGGACAGGATGGGATGATGGGGACAGGAAGGGACAATGGGGATAGGAAGGGACAATTGCGTATAGGAGGTGACCATGAGGACAGGAAGGGACAATGGGGATGGAGGCGATGATGGGGACAGGAAGGGACGACGGGGATAGGAGGGGATGATGAGGATAAGAAGGGACAATGGGGATGCTGGGGACAGGAGGGGACGATGACACAGCATCCTTAGGGTGCACAATGCAGTCGTAGCCTCACCTGCACCGAAGTGATGGATCCCTTGCGCGTGGTGGTGATCCTCTCCTGCATGGTGCCCATATCAGTGGCCAGGGTGGGCTGGTAGCCCACGGCAGAGGGGATCCTGCCCAGCAGAGCTGACACCTTGGAGGGGGGTAGGGGTACAGAGGCTCTGAGGGGCTGCACAAGTGGATGGAGGGGGGGTCACAGCGGGGCTGGTGCTGAGCACCCACCTCAGAGCCAGCCTGGGTGAAGCGGAAGATGTTGTCGATGAAGAGCAGCACGTCCTGGCCCTCCTGGTCCCTGAAGTATTCGGCCACCGTGAGCCCGGTCAGGGCCACCCTGGCGCGGGCACCGGGGGGCTCGTTCATCTGCCCATAGACCAGAGCGACCTGCGGGCGAGGACGGGGGGTGGGCACGGTGCTACCGGTACCCCCCCCCCCTCAGGAGACCCCCTTCTCTATACCTTGGATGTGGCATCTTTGAGGTTGATGACCCCGGACTCGATCATCTCATGGTACAAGTCATTGCCCTCGCGGGTCCTCTCCCCGACGCCGGCGAACACCGAGTAGCCGCCGTGGGCTTTGGCCACGTTGTTGATGAGCTCCATGATCAGCACCGTTTTACCCACGCCGGCACCTCCGAACAAACCTGGCACCGGGGGAATCCTGCTCGATGCCCGGCCCATCCCGGCCGCTCCCCCACCTCCCTGCTCCCCTTTTCCTCCTCAGATCAATCCAAGTGGCTTCAGCCAGCTCAGAAGAACGAAAGTCAAACGGTTCCTCATCAGCGAAGGAATCTCCCGTCCCCGTCCCCCCCCATGCCCATAGGGAGCACGCACCGATCTTGCCCCCCTTGGCGTAGGGCGCCAGCAGATCCACCACCTTGATCCCTGTCACCAGGATCTCCTGCTCCACGCTCATCTCCACGAACTCGGGGGCTTCGGCGTGGATGGCAGCAAACCTGCGGGGAGGAACGGGGCTCAGGAGCTCCAACCGGGCCCCGGGGCTGAGCGCGGAGCCTGCTCACGGCGCAGCGCGGGTCGGGGTCGGCCTCGCTCACTGCTTGGTGGTGATGGGGCCCCGCTCGTCGATGGGCTCCCCGATGACATTCATGATCCGGCCCAAGGTCTCGGGGCCCACGGGGATGCGGATGGGAGCTCCGGAGTCCAGCACCTTCTGGCCCCTCACCAGCCCCTCGGTGCCGTCCATGGCGATGGTGCGCACCGTGTTCTCCCCTGCCAAAGGCCAAGGGCAGCGTCGCAGCAGCGCCCAAGGGCTGGCCCCGGGGAGCCGCCGGTGCCTTCCCCCGGGCACGGAAGCCGCAGACCGCGATCTCCCGACGGGAAACGCGGTCCTGAGGCCTCGCATTGAGATGCACGGCGGAGGCACCGGGAGCGCACGGCCGCGGCCGCAGCGGGCACTCACCGAGGTGCTGAGCCACCTCCAGCACCAGCCGCGTGTCCCGGCCCTGCACCTCCAGGGCGTTCAGGATGGGGGGCAGCCCCTCATCGAACTGCACATCCACCACGGCGCCGATAACGGCCACGATGCGCCCGGTGCTGGAGCCCGCCTTGGCCGCGGGGGCCGCCTGGGCCGCATAGTCCCGGCCTGCAGCGGGGTTGGGGGGGGGGAGACAACGGGGACGAGTCAAGGTCGGGGGCGGTTGGGGTGGGGGGGAAACGGCAGCTCCGGGCACCCGTGTGGGGCCGGGGCAAGGCCCGGAACCCCCGGGACCCCCCTCCCGGTGCTCCCGCTCCATCCCCGCTGCAGGCCCCGGCCCCGGCCCCTCACCCGCGTAGGCCCCAAGGTGACCCCGCGGGCGCGGCCCCGCACTCACGCGGCTCGGCGGCGGGCGCGGCCCCGCGGCTCAGCAGCAACGGAGGAGGCGGCGGCCGGGCCCGGCCTCGCGGCGCAGCAGCGGCCGCACAACGGCGGCGGCGGCGGCCCCCGAGCACCGACCCGCCAGCCCCAACATGGCGCCGCCGACTGAGCCCCGCGCCCCGCCCGCGCCTGCACGGCCCTCGGCGGGGCGGGACCGCGGCGCCACGTCGCGCGCCCCATTGGATACGGCGCCGACGCGCGCTCGCTCTGCGATTGGCCACGCTCTCCGCTCGCCGCGACGCCATTGGGAGGATTAGCCATCCGTCAAGGAGAGAGAGGAGGTGATTGGGAGAGCTTGGAGGGAAGGGGCGGGGACAAGCGCAGAGCGGCGGAAGCGGCGGCGCACGTGTCCGCGGTTGTCCTTGGACCGGGCGCGGTGACCGCGGCACCGGGGCCGCTTCCGTCCCGTCCCCCCCCCAGTCCCATTGCGGCCAATGGAGCCGCCGCTGCCCCCGTCCCGTCCCATCCCGTATCCCCCCCAATGCAGCCACCAGGGCCGTCAGCATCGCCTCCCCCCGGTCCCCCACCGTCCCCGTTCCCGGTGCGGAGCAGGAGGCGAGGCCCGGGAGTCTTCAACAGTTTATTAGAAAGAATGCAGACATTAAAAAAATCCCAGCTGCTCGGAACACAAATTGAGGTTTTTCAGCCCGGTTGGGAGGTGCCCCGGGGGGGCGGCGGAATTCCTGGTACCCGGTGCCCCCGGTGCCTCCCCACCCTTTCTCGCTTCCACAGCCACAGTGCAAATAGGATTTGGTCTAAAGGAACAGCTCAACAAGCAACAATGTACAGGCATCGCCCCGGAGGAGGAGGAGGAGGGTGTAAAGCTTTAGAGCCAAACGGTACCAAGGGACAGGCTCCAGCCACCGGTACCCGGTGACTCGGGATGGAACAACCCCACGGAGGAGAACTGGTGTTGCCTTTTCAATACAAAGTTTAATGGAAGGGCCCCACCGTGAGCCAACAGCCCCAGTTCTTGTTCCCGGTCCAAACATCCAATTTCAGGCCACAGGGACTGGGTAAAAGAAGGCGGGGGGGGGGGGAGAGGGAGAAATGCTCAATTCTATCAACTTGGTGTCAACTCAGGGTTGTCCCATGGGAATTATATCTGCTACGAGGCAAGGAGGCTCTGTAAACTTTATTGCAACTGTTCTGTCTCGATGGCCTACACCTCAACTGGGGGGGGGTTTGTTGGGGGTTGGTTGTTGGAAGGCTGGAAAACTGGTTCATGCATAAAGTTATTGCCTCTCGTGGCTTTCAGGCCGCCCCGTGCCATGGTACACACCTACCACCAGTGAAGCCATTGAAAATGGACTGAAAATGGGTTAAAGGATGCAGGAGCTCCCGTTAGGGCTATCATCAACTCAGGAATTCTTATCTCGGTTATGAAATGTTGTGATGAAGTTCTTTCCCCAAACCCTGAAGACGACGCTTTTTCCTTACTCCAGATCTGGCATTTCTAGAGAGGAAAGAGAAGAGGGAAGAGCGTTAGTGGGGTTGGGGTTGGTTTCAGCCTTGTTTCATCACCCTCAGCATCAGCCATGGGGCAGCTGAAGGCCTCTGGGTCTGGTTCTTCATAAGGAAGAGCCATGAACAGGCACTGGAACCACTCCATGAGAAGCCGCCTCCATGGGCAGGGCTGCTCTGAAAGCCAAAGCCTCCCCAGGCCTGCGCTGAGGAGGCCAAACTGGGATTTCAGGCTGCTGTGGAAAGGCTTCCATTGGATTACAGCCCTCGGCCAGGCCTGGCATTAGCTCAGAGGCAGGGTTCAGTGAGCGACCCCTCATGGAATCACGCTGGGACAGGACTTACTTTCATCATCACTGTCTGGTGAGTCCTGGGAAGAAGAAGAGACAACGTTAACTGGAGCAGAGCGGGCTTGAAGGAGCCTTTTTCCTTCACCACCACCCCTCCCACCAGCAGCAAAGGAGCTGCTGTTCCTGCAGTGAACCCTGTGCTGCTGCACAGCACGAGCTCAGTCTGGCCTCACTGGCACCAGGAGCTATGGATCCATCAGTGTGCTCTGGAGCCAGGCTGAGAGAAGGCTCCTTAAGGGGAGACCTGAGAGCAGCTCCAGTGCCTAAAAAGGGGTACAGGAAACCTGGAGAGGGGCTTTGGAGCTATTGAAGAGCCTGACCTCGGCACAGAGCAAGGGTGTATTTGCTACAGAGCACTTACATCATCTGCCCCATCTACTTCTGGCAAGTCTACGTCGTCATCTCCACCCATGTTGTTCATCATCTGCTCCAGAGAGATAAAAGCACGTTAGAGGGTGAAGCAGCACCGCAAGCGCCACTGGGAGGAGGAGGAAGGCTCTGCCCAGAGGGAATCCCAGGGAAGGAACCCCCAAATTCCAGGGATTCGTGCTCCCCTACCTCGGAAAAGCGATCGAAATTGGACATGTCTTCATCTGAGTCATCTTCCCAGTCTTTCCAGTTGTTGAAGTCCACACTGAGCCAGTTGAGCTGCGCAGCAACACAAGGGTGTTAGTGCAGGACAAGCAAGTACCGAGCTGGTACCGTAGGAAGGTAAAGCAGAAGCGCTGCTCTGAGGTGACCCACGAGCCACTGCATCACTTCCCCATCACCCAAATAGGAAACCCCACTGGAAAGCAGGCAGACAAGAGGAGCTGAACCCACCTTTGCCCTCTCTTTCGTTAACCTGGGCCATGCCTGACCGGACTCTCCTTTTCGTAAACAACACAAGATAGATCTGTCTGTTCTTTTATGCTTTGACTCCTGAAAGGGAGGAAAATCCCTGTTAACATCATCCCCCAAAGCTGCTTTTGTCACTTAGCTTCAGCTATCAACTTCATCCTTGCTCTAAAGGACACCATCTAGAGATGCTTTCGAGGCCGGAAGCGCCGCCAGCATCCCGAAGGAGCCGCTGTTCCCCAGGACGCAGCCCTAGGAAGCCAGGAGGATACTCACATTTGGATCAATATTGTTAAAAAGGTCGATTTCGTTTAAATGTTTGAAGTTATCGCTTCCTCCAAGACAACTGCGGAGAGAAAAGAAGACGTGGTTGGTCCACACCAGCCCCTGCACAGACATCTGCACGTCAGCACACGCATCACCCAGCCTGCTTCTTGTCTCTCTCCCTGCCCTTCTACCCGTTATCACGGTGGGGCACAAGAGCCCCATGGGATGCTCCAGGCTTGGGGAAGCTCCTCACGGGGAAGGACCAGCACGGATGGAGCTGAACAGGAAGCCCCGGGCAGGGCAGCGGAGCTGGAGCAGGGCCTGGAGCTCAAGCGGGATGGGGAAGGGCTGAGGGAAGCCCTGGCCCCGCACCTGAAGGTGAGTTTGGACTTCTCGAAGTTCACGTTCACGTCCTTGCTGTCCTCCACGCAGAACTCGATGAAGACGTAGTCTCGGCGGTCGTACCACTTGGCGGAGGCGGGCTGCCTGTGGAGGGGGGGGGACAGCGAGGTCAGCTCCCAGAGAGACAACGAAGCCAAGGAGAGACCCCCCCAGAGAGCTCCTTGGGGGAGCCCAGACCCACAGCAACGCAAAATGATGCCAAGCTTTAGGATGAGGGGGGCGGCTGCAGCTCCCCGATGCTTTTTGTCACCCAAGGAACAGGCCCCAAACCCCACTGAGGCTCTGGTTCACGTTCCTGGGGGGGTCCTTTGGCTTCTTCCAAGCACCACGAGCAGCGACACCCAGAAACCACCCCAGGGCTCTCGGGCTGGGCTGATGATCAGTGCTCTGAGCGAGCCAGATGGGCGCTCACCACGGTGCTTATTGCAGCTATAGGGCCTGTGGGGAGCTGAAGCACAACCCCAGCCCTGGATGTGACGCTTCCTGCGCTGAGGAGCGGGTGCTGGGTGCTGGTATCGCTCCCCAGGCGTTTCACCACCACCAACCTGGCTCTAGAGGCATTCCCTTCTCCAGCATTCCAAGGTGCTGGGCTTCCCACTGCAGCCTTGAGGGTGCTGCCCACAGGGTGCAAAGGCAGCAGCAACCCTCAGAGCAGCGTTGCAGGACAAGGCATCACTTCCACACGGGGTGAAAGAGAATGATTTCCTCCAGCACAGTTCCCATTCCCAACCTTTTATCCGGGTTTTCCAAGCTCAAATTCTTCCTTTAAGAGGGTGAAAGCTTTCTCTTGGCCGTGACCATTCAGCACCGCTAACACAGGATACCTGGAGCTGCAAACCCAACTCTGGGATGAGATGGATGCCGACATCCCAAGGAGACTCCACACACAGGGAAGCTGCTGGTGGAGCCTTCACGTGCTCCGAGTGCGTCAGGAGATGCTCCTGCATCCCCAGGGCATTTGCTGGTTCCTTAGAGATGCTCCAAAAGGAGCCCAATGCTTCCTCCTTCCTCAGCCAACTTCATCCCAGGAGCCCAAGGCTTTGGCTGGGACCATTCCCACGTCCTCAAGGGGTTTTAGGCCTCTCTGAAGCACATGGGTTCATTTAAACACTGCCTTACCCCATGCACCAACACAGCCCAGGGAACATCTCCTGTGCTCCACGGAAGGGGTTGGAAGGGACCTTAAAACTCATCCAGTCCCAACCCCTGCCACGGGCAGGGGCACCTTCCACTGGAGCAGGGGGCTCCAACCTGGCCTTGAGCACTGCCAGCGATGGAGCATTCAAACCTTCTCCATTCAACCCATTCCAGGGTCCCAGCACCCTCACACTACGGAGCTTCTGCCTTGTATCCAACCTGAACTCCCCCTGTTCCACTCTGAACCCATCACCCCCTGTCCCATCGCTCCAGTCCCTGATGCAGGTCCCTCTCCAGCATCCTTGTACCCCCCTCCAGGCACTGGAAGCTGCTCTGAGCTCCCCACGCAGCTTCTCTGCTCCAGCCCCAGTGCTCTCAGCCTGGCTCCTATGGGAGCTGCTCCAGCCCCTGAGCATCCTCGGGGCCTCCTCTTGCTCCAACAGCTCCATGCCCTCATGTTGGGGCACCAGGGCTGCTCCCTGCAATTCCCATCTCTTCCAGTCACCCATTGAGAAGACAATCCCAGGATTGCAGAAGAGCTTCCAGGAGCTCCGGAGCCACGCTCAGGTGCAGCTTTGCCCATGACACCTCAATGGAACCCACCTCCAGCTTAGCCACAGAGCTCAATTACTGCTTGGGGCCATCCAACCCCCTCCTTGGGTGTCCTGTGCACTCCGGATCCCGGGTTCATTTCCTGGGACGCATCCTGACCATTCCTAGAGCTTGAGGATGCTGCAGGATGAGCTTTTCACCCCCAGCCAACCGGGAACAGACCCGGCTTACGGAATCAGCTTTGCCTTTGCTTCCAATCGGGCTTTTTGAGTTAAACCCCTCTCATTTCACTCTAAACAACGCAAATTGAGCCGAGCTGATGCTTTCTAGAGGGGAAAACAACCGAGTTCCTCCCATTCCAATGCACCGGCCCCATCCTTCGGGGCTCCAAAGCACCACACCCCCCCTCGGTAAGCGCCGCTGCCCCGTTCCCCTCCATCCCTCCCCGCAAAGCCCAGCGCTACCGGACACCGGCCCCATGACCCGGCCCCGCATCCGCTTTAAACCCACCGCGGGAGCTGCGGAGGCCGCGAGCTCCGGTTTCCGGCTGCTCCGCGCGCACAGCCCCGGCACACGCGGGTCTGCGAGCGGCGCCTTCCGCGGGACCCACCGGGCGCTTCGCTTCGCCCCGGTTCAACCGCGACCATCCCCGTCCACACCCCCCGATCCCGCCCCATTCATCCCCACACGGGAACGGACCAGCCCGGGGGGGGGGCGGGGGGTGTGACCCCAAACCCCATCCCGGACCCCCCCCCCCCGGTACCGAACACCCCCCCCCAAGGTCACTACATGAGGCCTGCACCCCGCGGCCGCGCCTGCCGAGGCCTAAGGCCCGGCGGGGCCGCTCCTCCCCGCCCCGTTCTCCCGTTTCCCCCCCCCCCCCGCAGGGTCTCACATGGCTCCGGCGCGGTCCCGGGCGGGCTCCGGTGCGTGCAGGGCGCGGCGGGGGGGGGACAGGGCCGTGGCTCCGGGGCGGCGGCGGCGCTCGGTGGTGGCGGTGGCGGCGGGCTCGGGGCTGCGGCCTCGCTCCCACAATGCCCCGCGCGCTCGGAGCGCTGGTGACGCAGCAAAATCCCCCCCCCCAACCACCTCCCAGGGCCCCTCTGCGCATGCGCGGAGCGGCCCCCCCCCACGCCGCCCTTCTAGCAGCTTCTGGGCGCGCGCACGCGGGGCGGAGGGAGGGGGGACGGAGACGGCGGTTGCTATGGAGACGGGGCAGCGCTACCCCGGGTCCTAGCGCCCGCCCAGCTCCACGCGTCGGGGGTGGAATCGCGTCGCTGCTCCCTAAAAACCCCGTCGTTCCCACCGGGAATCCCGGCGGTTTTCCCAGAGAATCCCGGCGGTTTTCCCAGAGAATCCCGTCGCTTACCCCCCCCCCCCCAAGGAACCCTGCTGCTGCTCCATCGTTTACCCTAATGAAACCTGTCAACAGTGGGGTAACGGGGGCCTCCCAGCAGCACCCATCACCCCTTATTCCCTCCACAGCTTCCATGAGCTATTCCCAAACACAGGTTAATGGAATAGGGCTGGGAAAGCAGCGGGAAGGTGCCACTGTTGCAGATCCAGGCTCTCGGAGCAGTGGCTGGTAGGAGGCAAAGAGCCCCCCCCCCTTCAGGGCTTCCCACCAGCACATCCCTTTGGATCCAGCTGGAAGATGCCAGAATCCATCCCCATCCCGCTGTGAAGGGAAGCCCTGGGGTGCTGAAGGACGTGACACCCTGCACTGGAGTCATCCAGGCTGGAAGCGGGTGTCCTTTGGGACAGGAAGGAAAGGAGGGAAGAGGCTCCTGGGACAGGGTATCGGGCTGCGATCTTCCCGGGAGGAAGGTTCCACCCTGGGCCCTCGGCACCGGGAGCACCGGGTGTTTTCACCAACAATAAGCCACAACTTTTATTCCCGGATAGAAATAGTACAAATTTTAAACGCAGTCGCATTTGAACTCTTCTCTGAAACACCAAAAAAGGCTCCTCCATCCCACAGCTACATCGTCAACTCCTGTGGAGAGAAGGGAATGTGGGGATCCACGCCGCGGCAGCGGGAGACCCCCGTGGTGCCGGTCCCCATCCCAGCAGGAGCCCTCGCCGGGGCTGGCACTCACCATGATGGCATTTACAATGTCGTTACTGTTGTTCTTGAGGGCACGCACGGCCTTTGCTCGGGACACGTTCGCCTGCGACATCACCAGCTCAATGTCTTTCACCTCGACGCCGGTTTCGTCAACCTAAAGGAGCAGGGAATGAGGGAAGGAACCAGGTTGGGAAAGAGCCATGCCACCCAGAGCCTCATCTACATGGCTTGGGAACACCTCCAGGCATGCTTACTCAACCCCTGACAAACAGGATTGGCTTTGGACTTGTGCAAGGTGTTTGTCCCTGTCCCCCATGTCCCTCATCATTAAACACATGGATGTGAGGGATGGGCAACCCAGGGGATAAGGAATAGGCTGGATGGCTGCAGTGGATGCTGGAGAGCGACCCTGGTCAGGAACTGGAGAGAGAGGATAAGGGATGATGGTTTCAGACTGGAACAGGGGAGTTCAGGTTGAATCTAAGGCAGAAGTTCTTTAGTGTGAGGGTGTCGGACACTGGGATGGGTTGAATGGAACAAGTTTGGATGCCCCATCCCTGGCAGTGTTCAAAGCCAGGCTGGATGGGGCTCGGAGCAAGCTGCTCTAGTGGCAGGTGTCCCTGCCCCGTGGCAGGGGTTGGATGAGCTTTAAGCTCCTTTCCAGTCCAAACCATTCCATGATTTTATGAGTGTCCTGATGGTGGCAGCTCCCCCACGCTCCCAGGCCACAAAGAGAGGAGCTGGGAGGGAAGCCAGGGCAATGGGGACCTGCTCCTGCCCCTGCCCCATCCCTTTGCCATGGAAAACACAACAGAAGGAAAGCAAAGCAGGGGAATGCCCAGTGCTGGGCTCTGTCATTCCGAGCTCACCTCTTCCTCCTCACTCTCCTCCTGCACCGTGGGGGTCTGTGTGTTTTCCTGGATGTTTGAAACGGCTTCTCCCTGCACTTTGAACTTCTCAGCAGCTGCCAACTGGGCCTGTTGGGACAGGTCTTCGATCTGGCAGAGGGAAGAAGAAGTGAGACAGAGCAGGACACAGAGATCCGCATTCCCCACACTCCCCAGTGCATCCAGCTCTGCTCATAGGACCCCCAGGATCCATGTGGCAAGGCGGAACCCCCATGAGGGGGCCACCAGCGGGGTCACGTCACCTTTGCTTCGCCAAAGACTATGTAGGTGTCTGAAGCAGGGCTCTTGTACACGTCTGGCTTTGTGATGACAAAGAGGATGTTCTTGGATTTGCGGATGGTGACTCTGGTTACTCCTGTCACCTGGCGAAGGCCCAGCTTGGACATTGCCTGAAGAACCAGGAGAGAAAGGGAAGGGGGCAAAGGAGTGACTGAGACAGAGCAGCCTGAGGAACGTGTCCATAGAGTCATGGAATGGATTGGGTTGGATGGGACCTTGAAGCTCATCCAGTTCCAACCTCTACCACAGGGCAGGGACACCTTCCACTAGAGCAGCTTGCTCCAAGCCCTGGCCAACCTGGTTTGAACACTGCCAGGGACGGAGCATCCAAACCCTTCTCCATTCAACCCATTCCAGGCTCCCCTACAGGGAAGAGCCTCCTTAGATCCAACGTTCTCAGCCTGGCTCCATACGGGAGCTGCTCCAGCCCCTGCTCCTCTGCTCTCCAGAGACCTGTGCCCACGGATTAGGGCCTCACCCAGTGTGGCTTTCCTGCTGCAGAGCAGCATTCCCAGGCTTTTAGCCAGGAGCTTGGGAGGGAATTCACTTCCCAGCCCAACCCTCAGCCCCCAGCCACGAGGAGTTTGCATCCCTCTGCCCGAGGGCCAGACAGGGGACCCAGAGCCAGCACGGGGCGATGCTGTGCCATCCATCCCTGAATCCCTCCTCACCTTCCGTGCTTTCTTTTCACTCCGGCTCTGTTTCGCTTTGCTGACGGGTTCTTCATCTATCTCAGCTGCTGCTGCAAGCTGCAAGGACAGAGAACAGGAGGGATCACGGCAATCCTGGTGGATCCCACCACCACCCCTGCCACCCTCCCTACCTGTGCCTGCTGTGTCGTGGCCTGTGTGGAGTCTTGCTCTTCGAGCTCTGGTACGGATTCATCGCTGTCAGACTCTGTTCCGGACCCTACGGACCAAACTCAAGTCACTTCCTGCACCTCAGCTCAGGGCTGCACCAAGAGCCGGGAGCCACATGCCAAGGTTTCCACTCAGCGCGGTGAATCTGGTGTCAAACCGGTTCAGGCAGCACCTGGAGCTCAGCTACACAGCGCAGGGACGGAAGCCAACTCCTGCTGCCCCGTTCCACAGCTTCCCTACGAGGAGTGACCCTGCAGGAGCATCTCTGGATGCTCGCCTTGGCTCCTGCTCGGGGAGCACAAGCCGTGTCTGAGCACAGAGCTGGGTGTCTCCGGGTGACCACAACGCCCTCTCATGCACCATTACCTCCATTCGGTCCCGTGTCCTCCTCCACAAAGCTCCACACAGGAGCCCTCGGGGATCCCAAGAGCTCGAGCAGGCAAAGGAGCCTCCCCGGAGCCTGGTTTGGCCCCACATCCTCCTGGCTGACGGGCACAAGGCCATGGACCAGGCCCGTGAAGCCAGCTCCGGCTGAGCCATGCCACAAGCCACACCGTGCCCTGAGCACACGCTGTTAGTGCCCCTGGGCCCTGATCCCATGGGATACATCCCCTCCCTGTCCCCCAGCTCTGGCACGGCTCAGACCTGCCCCCCCCCCCCCTTCCCTGGAGAGCCCAACACACCAAGTGCCATGGGGGGGGCGGGTTAGTATCCAGGCAGTGCCACTCCATGCACACAGCAATCCGTGGGGACAAATACCCTTGTCATTCCTGAGGCCGGGCTGCTTGGCCGGAGCAGGAGCCTCGGGGGGGGCCACGGCTGCTCGGGGGCACAGATCCACCAGGATGGGCTGCACCGGCGGCTCGGCAGCGGGAGGCTCGGGGGGGATCAGGGGGGCAGCTCCTCGTCGTCGTTGTCATTGGGGATGGAGGGGGGGGCTTTGGTGCCGGGTTTGGACGGGGACGGGCGCTTGGAGGCCTTGCCGGGGCTCTGCTTCTTCACGGGGGGAGTGGGAGGGGGGGCAGAGCCACCCGTGGCCTTCTGGGGAGCAGCGGCATCAGGAGGTGGCTTCTGGGGGGCACCAGGAACCCCCGGGGCTGGGGGTGCGGATGGGGCTCCTGGAGCTGCACCGGGGCTCTTGGGAACTGCTTTGGCTGCAGGAGCTGATGGAGCTGCCTTGGCTGGGGCTGATGGAGCAGCGCCCGGGCTCACAGGAGCTGCCTTGGCTGCAGGACCTGATGGAGCAGTGCCTGGGCTCACAGGAGCTGCCTTGGCTGCAGAAGGTGATGGAGCTGCCTTGGCTGGGGCTGATGGAGCAGTGCCCGGGCTCACAGGAGCTGCCTTGGCTGCAGAAGGTGATGGAGCTGCCTTGGCTGGGGCTGATGGAGCAGTGCCGGGGCTCACAGGAGCTGCCTTGGCTGCAGGGGGGGCTGCAGGAGCTGATGGAGCGGTGCCCGGGCTCACAGGAGCTGCCTTGGCTGCAGGAGGGGTGGCTGGAGCTGGGGTGGCTGCATCGGGGCTCTTTGGAGGTGCTTTGGCAGCAGCAGGAGCTGCTGTGGCTGGGGCTGATGGAGCAGTGCCTGGGCTCACAGGAGCTGCCTTGGCTGGGGCTGATGGAGCAGTGCCTGGGCTCACAGGAGCTGCCTTGGCTGCAGGAGGTGATGGAGCTGCCTTGGCTGGGGCTGATGGAGCAGTGCCCGGGCTCACAGGAGCTGCCTTGGCTGCAGGGGGGGCAGCAGGAGCTGATGGAGCAGTGCCTGGGCTCACAGGAGCTGCCTTGGCTGCAGGGGGGCAGCAGGAGCTGATGGAGCAGTGCCTGGGCTCACAGGAGCTGCCTTGGCTGCAGGGGGGGCAGCAGGAGCTGGGGTGGCTGCACCGGGACTCTTTGGTGGTGCTTTAGCCACAGGGGGGGCAGCAGGAGCCGCTGCAGCCGCTGGCACTGGAGCAGCAGCAGTGGAGCTGCTCTTGGGAGGCTTTTTGGCTGCAGGGGGGGCAGGAGCTGGGGGAGCTGCAGTGGCAGGGGCAGAGGGAGCAGGGATCGGGCTCACAGGAGCCCCTTTGGCTGCAGGAGGGGCTGAGGGAGCAGGGACTGGGCTCGTGGGACCTGCTTTGGCTGCAGGAGGGGCTGAGGGAGCAGGGCCAGGGCTCACAGGAGCCCCTTTGCCCGCAGGGGGGGCAGCAGGAGCTGCTGTGGCAGGGGCTGAGGGAGCAGGAACCGGGCTCCCAGGGGCTGGTGGAGCTGGGGGCACAGGCGGGGAGGGGGCAGCAGCAGGGCCCACAGGGGCTGCAGTGGCAGCAGCAGGAGCAGCAGGGGCAGGGCTCACAGGAGCTGGTTTGGCTGCAGGAGGGGCAGGAGCTGCAGTGGCAGCAGCAGGAGGGGCAGGGACAGGGCTCACAGGAGCCGGTTTGGCTGCAGGAGGGGCAGGAGCTGCTGTGGCAGCAGCTTGAGGAGCAGGAGGGGCAGAGACAGGGCTCACGGGGGCTGCTTTAGCTGCAGGAGAGGCAGGAGCTGCTGTGGCAGCAGCAGGAGGAGCAGGAAGGGCAGAGACAGGGGTCACAGGAGCCGGTTTGGCTGCAGGAGCTGCAGTGGCAGCAGCAGGAGGAGCAGCAGGGGCAAGGGTCACAGGAGCAGGTTTGGCTGCAGGAGCTGCAGTGGCAGCAGCAGGGGCAGGGACAGGGGTCACAGGAGCAGGTTTGGCTGCAGGAGCTGCAGTGGCAGCAGCAGGAGGAGCAGCAGGGGCAGGGACAGGGCTCATGGGGGCTGCTTTGGCTGCAGGAGGGGCAGGAGCTGCCATCGCTGGTGGGACAGGCGGGGAGGTGGCAGTGCCAGGGCCCACAGGAGCTGCTTTGGCTGCAGGAGGGGCAGCAGCAGGAACAGGGACAGGGCCCTCAGGGGCTGCTTTGGCTGCAGGAGGAGCAGGGACAGGAACAGGGCCCACAGGAGCTGCTTTGGCTGCAGGAGGAGCAGGGACAGGGGCTTGAGGAGCTGCTTTGGCTGCAGGAGGAGCAGGGACAGGGACGGGGCCCTCAGGAGCTGCTTTGGCTGCAGGAGGGGCAGCAGCAGGGACAGGAACAGGGCCCTGAGGAGCTGCTTTGGCTGCAGGAGGAGCAGGGACAGGGACAGGAACAGGGCCCTGAGGAGCTGCTTTGGCTGCAGGAGGAGCAGGGACAGGGACAGGAACAGGGCCCTGAGGAGCTGCTTTGGCTGCAGGAGGAGCAGCAGCAGGAGGAGCAGGGACCGGGCTCCCAGGAGCTGCTTTAGGCGCAGCTGCCACTGTGGGTGTGACAGGGGCCGGGGGCACAGTGGGTGCCACTGGGGACATGGGACTCAGTGAAGCTGCTGGGGGTGGCCCTGGGGGAGATGGGGCAGCTGCCAGAGAGGGCACGGGCAGGGCAGGGCCCAGGGGACAGGTACTGGCAGGAGCAGGAGCCCCAGGGGCCGCGGTGGCAGCAGGACCCCCCGGTGACATCCCTGGGGGTGACAGTGGGGCCCTGGGGGCAGCCAGGAAGGCGGGAGGGGGGGGCGGGCTCTGGGGACAAGCTGCAGCCTTGGGGGGCACAGTGGGAGCAGGCAGGAAAGGGGGGGACACCGGGGGGGGCGGTGACACAAGGGGAAGGGAAGGGGGAGGTGGGAGAGGGGTGGCAGGGGAGGAGAGCGCTGCGGGGGGAGCACCAGGGCTGATGGGGGGGGGCACCGTCACAGCAGCAGCAGGAGCAGGGGCCACTGGAGACACTGGGTTAACTGGGGCAGGCCCTGGAGAGCCTGGGGCTGGAGGGGGGGCAATGGTAACCGGGACCTGCAGAGCTGGGGCAGGGAGCTGCGGGGGGGCAGAGAACACGGGGATGGCCGCAGCTGGGACCACAGGGGGGGAAATGGGGGCCGGGGGGCCCGGGGGGAGCAGCAGAGCAGTGGTGGGACTGGGCAGCTCTGCTGGGAGAGCCTGGGCTGGGGTCAGGGCTGGGGAGGGAGCAGCGAGAGGAACAGCTACAGGAGAGAAAGAGAGTGAACCCATGAGAGAAGGGAGCAGGGGGGACACACGGCCCTGCCCCCCCCCCCCACCCCAGCAGAAGAGCATCACCCAATGCACCAGCACAGACAGGACCTTCATCCCCTCCTAGGAACCAGCACAAGGCCCTGGGCTCCCCCAATCTAACCTTGGCATTTGGGAATGCCGGGCTCTGCCCTTGGCTCTTCCCTCCCAGAGGGGTTGTCCCAAGCTCCACAGAGGCCTGGCCAGACCCCAGGGCTGGGAAGCCCCATCCTGGGCTGCACTGGGATGAGGATCCACTGAGGGTTCGAATCCAACTCTGGCAGAGCCCCCTCCGGCCTTGTGGGACACGGGATGCTGAGTCCTGGCTCCATGCAGTGACCTGCCCCTCCCCGTGCAGGCTGTTAAGGGTTAATGTAACTGCACCCCCTGTCCCTCCCCCAGAACAACAAACTCTGGTTACGGTGCCACACGAGGGGTTAAAGTGGGTCCCCAGTACCTGGCGCTGGGACAGGAGCAGTGCCAGGGGCTGCGGGGTGAGAACAACGCGTTAAGACAAGTGATGGGAGCATCCCAACACCATTCCCAACACCAGCTGGTGATCAAAGGGAAGCGCTCAGGGGAGAGGCTGTCAGAGCAGCCAGTCTGACCAGTGGAACCAGCACCCGTGCTGGCTGGGAGAGTGGAACCTGCCCAGCCCCACGCAGGGCATCACCCAGAGCCCGGAGGCAGCGACCCAACACCCTCAGCTCGCTGCTCCCCGGAGCAGCACCACGTGTGGAGGCCTCAGAGCCTCCTCTGCGGTCTGAGTTGGAAGGGACCTTAAAGATCATCCAGGTCCAACCCCTGCCACGGGCAGGGGCACCTTCCACTGGAGCAGGGGGCTCCAATCTGGCCCTGAGCACTGCCAGCGATGGAGCATCCAAACCTTCTCCATTCAACCCATGCCAGGGTCCCAGCACCTTCACACTACGGAGCTTCTGCCTTGTATCCAACCTGAACTCCCCCTGTTCCACTCTGAACCCATCACCCCCTGTCCCATCGCCCCAGTCCCTGATGCAGGTCCCTCTCCAGCATCCCTCTGAGCTCCCCACGCAGCTTCTCTGCTCCAGCCCCAATGCTCTCAGCCTGGCTCCTATGGGAGCTGCTCCAGCCCCTGCTCATCCTCGTGGCCTCGCTCCAACAGCTCCATGTCCTCATGTCATTACGTCTTAGTCACTTCCCAAGCCTATCCCAGTGGGAGGAGATGGGAACCCACCGGAGCCAACAGGCACCAGGCCACGTCCTGCCCCAGAGAAGGAACGTGCTCCAGGCAGGAGCAACAACCCCTGGCGAGAGCTGCGCTGCTCCCGAGCCCCGCACACACACAGCGGCCCCCTCCGGGCAGCCCCTTCCCCCCCACCGGCTCCCTTTGAGGCTGCTCCCAGCTGGGAATGGGGAGGACGCTGGGAAGCGGCCCCAGCGCAGGAATCCCAGCGATTCCTGGAGGGAGCCCAACGGCTCCGGATGCTCGGCACTGCAGCTGCCACAGCAAGAGCCGTCACTCAGCCCCACATTCCCTCCTGATCCCCACATCCACAGACCCCGCTCGCAGGGAAAGCCACGGAATGAGCCAGGCTGGGGAAGAGCAGGGGCCCTGCTGCCACGCTGCTGCTGAGCTCCCGTTCAGCTCCAGCAGCGCAGCTCCTTTCCCGGGAGCAGCTTCCCCAAGCCTGCAGCATTCCATGGGCTATTCCTGGGATGCACCAAAGCCAGGCAGCCCCAGGGCACGGGGACCCCTCCGATGGAGCCAGGCAGAGCCTGAGCCCTGCTCCCCAACCCCAACCCATCCCCAACCTCAACCGGCTCCAGCGCTTGGAGGCCTCCTGACCCCCCCCCCCCGGCCCATCCCCATCGCTCCAATGACACCCGAGGGAGCTGCGACACGGGGGGGGGGGGGGTGTCCCTCCAATGCAATGACTGCAACAGCCGGGTTTGGGACGGGGGAGAACAACCGAACACAGCAGCAACGAGCAATCCCCCCCCCGGGGGTCAAGCTCCCCCCGTTAACACCGACCGGCTGCGGGGCCCGGTGTGTGTCCGGCCTCACCTGTCTCAGCCTGCGGCTGCGGCAGCTCCTGCTCGGTGGCCGGGACGGTTTCTGTCGCTTCGCCGGGCATTTCTGCGGAGAGGGAGAACGCACCATGGCCGGGGGCCGCCCGCCGCCACCGGCTACCGGACACCCCGCTACAGGCCGCGTTCTACCGGCCCTCCCGGCCCCAGCGGCCTGGCTCCCGCTGCCCTCCCGCCCGCCCTCCCTCCCTCCTTCCAGCCCGCCCGGGGGCGGCCCGTAAGGGGCTATCGGCCCCCGCCGAGGCGCCGGAGCGGCGGATGACGGCGGATGGCGACGGATGGCGGCGGATGGACTCACTGTGCGGGGAGCAGGGTCCAAGATGGCGGCGGAAAGAGAGCGAGCGGCTGGATGCGGGACTTCCGGGAGGATGAGCACATCCGGGGCACGGGGCCCCGCTCCGGCCACCGCGCTCCTGCGTTCCGGGTTCTTTCCGTTCCGCCCCCCCCCTTCCCTCCTTGTGGGGCTGGGACCACCGGTGTGGGGCCGAACCCCCGCTATAGGGCAGGGTATGGGGAGCAGCAGCCCCACAAGCCCAAGACAGAGGCAGGTGCCGGGCGCAGACAGGCGGTGAATGGGGACATTTAATGATGTTTGCGTAGAAAAGGGACAAAACCAGAGAAGGGTCCGTGTGGGGCAGGGGGAGTGGGGCAGGGATCGGGATGTGGCTCCGGGCACCGGAGGGGAGGATGGCAGAGGCCTCAGAAGTCTCCTTGCAGGTCTGTAATGAGGAGAGACAGGGAGGTTTGTAGCCAAGAGCTCCCATTTGGGTCCCATTCAGCTCCCATTGGGGTTCCCATTCGGGTTCCCATTCAGCTCCCATTAGGGCTCTCATTCAGCTCCCCATTCGGGTCCCATTTGGGTTCACATTCAGGTCCCATTGGGGTTCCCATTCAGCTCCCCATTCTGGTCCCATTCAGCTCCCATTGGGGCTCTCATTCAGGTCCCATTCAGCTCCCATTGTGGCTCTCATTCTGCTCTCATTCAGGTCCCATTGGGGCTCCCATTCTGGTCCCGTTCAGGCTCCCATTTGGGTCCCATTCAGGTCCCATTGGGGCTCCCATTCTGCTCCCATTCAGGTCCCACTGGGGCTCCCATTCTGCTCCCATTCAGGTCCCACTGGGGCTCCCATTCTGCTCCCATTCCGGTCCCATTCTGCTCCCATTCAGGTTCCTATTGGGGCTCCCATTCAGGTCCCATTGGGGCTCCCATTTTGCTCCCATTCAGGTCCCATTGGGGCTCTCATTCTGCTCCCATTCAGGTCCCATTCAGCTCCCATCCTGCTCCCATTCAGGTCCCATTCTGCTCCCATCCTGCTCCGGTGCAGCACAGCCCCTCGCTGGCACCCACCGCTCCTCCTCCGCATCTCCCCCCTCCGCGCTCGCTCCATGTCCTCCACGAAGTGCTCGAAGAGCCGCACGTAAGGCGCCAGGCTCGTCCTCTTGTAGTCTGCAGGAGGTGGGGCTGAGCAGGAGCCATGGGGGGAGCCCCCCATTGCCCCCCCAGGTCACACTCACCCCGCGCGCGCCGCTTGGGCTCTGTCTCCGCTCCATCCTCCTGCTCCCCGTCGGCACCGGCCGCATCCAGCTCGTGGCACAGGGAGCTGCGGGCAAGGCCATGATGGGCTGTGAGGTCTTCTCCAACCCGGTTCATTCGGTGATGGGACCTGGGGGGGGGCCCTGGGGGCAGAGCCGGGCCCCACTGCTCATCACGTACCTGATGGTGGGGACGGTGAAGGGGTCGAACTGGTCGAGCTTCTGCAGGTCCAGGGGTACCGAAATGCGACCTGAAGGAGAGAAGTCATGGGGCTGCTGGCCCTATGGGATGCTATCCCTATGGGATGCTATTCCTATGGGATGCAATTCCTATTAGGATGCTATTGCTATGGAATACTATCCCTATGGGATGCTATCCCTATTGGGACGCTCTCCCTATGGGATGCTATCCCCATTGGGATGCTCTCCCTATGGGATGCTATTCCTATTGGGATGCTCTCCCTATGGGATGCTATCCCCATTGGGATGCTCTCCCTATGGGATGCTATTCCTATTGGGACGCTCTCCCTATGGGATGCTATCCCTATTGGGATGCTCTCCTTATGGAATGCTATCCCTATTGGGACGCTCTCCCTATGGGATGCTATCCCCATTGGGATGCTATCCCTATTGGGATGCTATCCCCATTGGGATGCTCTCCTTATGGAATGCTATCCCTATTGGGACGCTCTCCCTATGGGATGCTATCCCCATTGGGATGCTATCCCTATTGGGATGCTATCCCCATTGGGATGCTATCCCTGCACGGTGCCATCCCCACCCCAGACCAACCTGTTTTGGGGTGGACGCTGAAGGGGCTCTTCAGGAGGTGCCCGACCCCTTTGCTGACGTTGATGTCGAGGCGGGGGAAGCAGAACTGCAGCATCACCTCCCAGTCCGCGAAGCACGAGGTGCCCTTCCCGGCCGCTGCCTGCTTCTGTGGGGCACACGTGTGGGGCAGGGCCAGTGGGGTGGGCGCTGGTGCCCGGGCCCTGGTCCCTGGATGGGGTCACACTCACCCGTGTCCGCTCCATGTGGCCCTTGAGCAGCTCCCAGCGCTGCACCGAGTCCCGCTTCTTGGGGAACTCAGCCCGCAGCGCCTCGCGGTGCTGTGGGCAGGGTCAAGGCTGCTCACGGACAATGGGAGACCCACGGCATTGGGGTGGGAGGGAGGGACCTTAAAGCTCATCCAGCTCCACGGGCAGGGACACCTTCCACCGGAGCAGGGTGCTCCAAGCCTGGCCTTGAGCACCGCCAGGGATGGTGACTCCATCATCCCCTGGGTACCCTGTTCCAGGGCCTGAGCATCCTCTGGGGTGACCCCGTTCCCCCCTTCGGACCCTCCATCCAGCACCGAGCGCTGCGGCATGCCCCCCACAGGAAGGATATCCTCCGGGATGAGGGCCAGCACCTTGTCCCAGCTCTCCGGGCTGCCCAGGATATCCTGCCCCACCAGTGCGTAGCTCTCAAAGTACTTCTCCACCACAGCGACCGAGCGCCTGTGGAGCAGGGAAGAGGCTCAGCACCACTCAGCATCATTCAGCACCACTCAGCACCAGGGAAGGGGGTCCCCAGCCGACCTGATGAAGGGGTGGATGGGCTCGGACAGATTCACCTTCTTCACGGTCTCTGCTCCACCCTGGGGGGGACAGCGATGCTCAGCGGGTTGGGGGGCCGTAAGGGGGTGCCCGGCTCCCCATGCACCCACCTTCACCAGGGTCAGGTACTCCACAGTGGCCGCCCGCAGCGCTGGGGACCACTTGCGCACGGCATCATCGCACACCCAGCAGTGGACACCCCTCCGGCCCGAGTACACCCACAGGCGATGCTTCAGCCCCAGGTCCTCTACGGAGGGGACAGCGGGAGCGTGTTGGGATGCGGCATTCCCAACCCAACCCCATCGGACACCACCACATCCACGGGTGCATGAGGGGTCCCCAGGACCCTCACCCACGAGTGCACGGTCGATGATGCGGACGGCGATGGTCATCAGGGTCCAGCACTTGGAGCAGATATCGGCGGAGCTGTGGGCAGAGAGCAATGGGTCAGGCTGCACCCCCTGCCCCTGCAACCCCCCCTTTTATCCCTTTCCAGCTCTCCCGGCTCCTGTGGGGAACCTGCAGCACGTCCGGACGTCGTCGTAGTCCGTCATGTCGATATCAAAGACCAGCTCCTTCTCCTGCGGCTGGAAGGCTCCCAGGTGCACCGTGTTGTGCTGGTTGGGCTGCAGGATGGGACGGGAATGGGCTCAGTGCCACCGGGGCCCGGTCCCCCTTGGGGTGCCCGGATCAAGGACTCACCCGGTGGGAGTAAACGGCGCCGATGTCGATCTTGTAGGGGTTGGTTTTCTGCAGCTCCCGCTCCAGCTCCTGGGGGCTGCCGAAGGACTGGAAGCGCACGTAGACATCGTCCCGCAGCGTGAAGGAGAACTCCCGCAGCTGGAAGTAGTTCTTCACCACTGCAGGGGGGTGGGAGGAGGGTTGCAGGGTACCCCCGGCTGGTACCACAGCCCCCCCCGGGACCTGGTATTGGAGCCTCCAACCCGGTACCACAGCCCCAGCCTGGTCACACAGCCCTGACCCGGTCCCGCAGCCCCTGGGACCGCAATCCCCAGTACCCGGTACCGCATCCCCAGCCCGGTACCACAGCCCCAACCTCGTACTGAAGCTCCCAGGACCCGGTCCCACATCCCCAACCCGGTCCTGCATCCCCGACCTGGTCCTGCATCCCCAGCCTGGTACCGCAGCCCCAGTCCAGTACCAAAGCACCCGGGACCCAGGACCGCAGTCCTGGCCCAGTATCACAGCCCCAGTCTGGTCCCGCAGCCCCGACCCGGTACAGAAACACCTGGGACCCGGGACCGCAGTCCCGACCCGGTCCCGCAGCCCCGACCGGGTACGGGGGACCGCAGTCCCGACCCAGTATCACAGCCCCAGCACGGAACCACAGGCCCGACCTGCTTCTGCATCCCCAACCCGGTTCCGCATCCCCAACCCGGTTCCGCATCCCCAGCCCAATTCCGCAGCCCCGACCCGGTCCCGCAGCCCCCGGGACCGCAGTCCCGACCCAGTATCAGAGCCCCAGCCGGGTCCCGCATCCCCGCCCCGCTCCCGCATCCCCGTCCCTGTACCCCAGCCCCGCTCCGGTCCCTGATCCCCGCCCCGCTCCCGCACCCCGCTCACCGCCGCCGTAGCCGAGCCAGCGGCCGTAGGCTCCGTGCGGGAAGAGGCGCCGGTAGAAGACCGGGAGCAGCTCGGGCAGCGCCGCGGGTTCGAACCGCGCCATGGCGGGCGGGAAGCGGCGGGAAGCGGAGCGCGGGGACCGCCGGGAGGTGTAGTCCGGCCCCGGAGGGGGGGGGGGGGGGCAGCGGCTCGAGTCACGTCGGGGGAAGACCCGGGGGGTCCCGGGATGCTCGGGGGGGGTCCCGGGATGCTCGGGGGGGTCCCGGGGCGGCAGCGCATGGGGGGGGGGGGGTGCGGGAAGCCCCGGGGCTGCCCCGCTCCGCGTTAACGATTACCCCGACGGCCGCACGGAGCGGGGCTGAGCCCGCAAGGCCGGGGCGGGGATGGGCAGGAGCGGGGCGGGGCGGGGCGGGGGAGCGGCCGTTTAAGGAGCCGGTATCGCTGGAGCGGGTCCCGAGGGGTTTTTTTGATCGCTGAGAACGGAGCCCGGTCCCGGTTGCGCTGCGGGTGCCGGTGCGGGGATGTGGGCGTACGTGGTGGCAGCGCTGGCGGCGCTGTTCCTGCTGCGGCGCTGGTACCGGGAGCGCCAGACGGTGCCGGGGCTCCCGGAGAAGTTCGTGTTCATCACGGGCTGCGACAGCGGCTTCGGGAACCTCCTGGCGCGGCAGTTGGATGCGCGGGGGCTGCGGGTGCTCGCTGCGTGCCGGAGCGAGGACGGGGCCGAGCGGCTGCGGGCGGCTACGTCCCCCCGGCTGCAGACCCTGCTCCTGGACGTCACCTCCAGCCCCAGCATCGCTGCTGCCGCCGCATGGGTCAAGGAGCGAGTGGGTGACCGAGGTAGGATGGGGCAGCGCCGCTGAAGGGACCCCTCCTGTATGGGGATACCCATAGGTAGGGCCCGGCTCACCCCGTCCCCTCTCCTCCGCAGGGCTCTGGGGGCTGGTGAACAACGCGGGCGTCGGCGCCCCCAGCGCCCCCAACGAGTGGCTGAGCAAGGACGACTTCCTCAAGGTGATCAACGTCAACCTCATCGGCCTCATCGAGGTGACGCTCAGCGTCCTGCCCCTCGTGCGGCGGGCGCGGGGCCGCGTGGTCAACGTGGCCAGCGTGATGGGCCGCGTCTCCTTCTTCGGTGGGGGGTACTGCATCTCCAAGTTCGGCGTGGAAGCCTTCTCCGACAGCCTCCGGTGAGCATTGCCCCGGTGTCCCCATTCGCCTCTGTGGGCGCTTTGTCTGGTAGGGGCACCCACCTGCCAAACCTCTTCCTGGCGCAGCCAGGGCGAGCTTGCGCCATAGCTACAGGGCTTGGGGCCCATGGGAGGGATCTCTCACCCTTTCCCTGCCTCTGGCAGCCTCTGCTCTGCCGTCAGCCAAGCGCACGCAGAGGCAGCCCCAAGTAAGAGAAAGCAAAAGGACTTGGCAGCGCTTTGACCTCATTCCCGCAGCGTAGGAGGCTGCGGCCGCGCCGGCCGGCACTGCCTGCCCCGGCACTGAGCCCCACGCCGTGGACCTTGCCCCCATCCCGTATCCAGGGGGGATGGCAAAGGCGTTTGCTTTGGCTTCGGTCCATCCAGCCTCGTGCTGGGTCCATCGGGGTGCTCGGGCTCTGCTTAGGATCCCCGGGTGCTGCCATGGGGCTTTGATCCCTTGCAGGCTTGACATGCGTAACTTCGGGGTGAAGGTGAGCATCATCGAGCCCGGGTACTTCCAGACGAACATCACCAACGGGGAGAACGTACAGAAGCATTTTATGGCTGCCTGGGAGAAGCTCCCGGAGGAAACCAAAGCGGATTATGGGGAGGTTTACTTGAAGCACTGTGAGTACCTCACCTAAAGCTTTAAGGGATGCTCAAGAGAGCGCTCCCATCACCCCAGTGCTCGAGGCGCTGAGCCTGAGCGCCCGCCTCCTGCTCCCGCAGTTGTGAAATCCTTCGGGAACATGAAGAACCTGTGCAGCCCCAACCTGTCGCTGGTGACGGACTGCATGGAGCACGCGCTGACCAGCCGCTACCCACGCACCCGCTACACCGCGGGCTGGGACGCCAAACTGCTCTACATCCCCCTCAGCTACGCGCCCAGCGCCCTCTCCGACCGCGTGTTTGCCAAGTACCAGCCCCCGCCTGCCCGCAAAGCCTGAGGCAGGGATGTGGTAAAGGCGAGGAGAGAGCCGGCAGCACCAGCTCCTTCCTGGGCTCCCGATTCAATGCACGTCTGGGAAACAGCTGAATAAAGGCAGCTCCTGCTCCTGGGTTTGGGTTTGCGTTCGGTCTTGGATGGGGACACATGGAGGTTGTGTCCCTGCTCATCCTCCAGCAGCACCAGCGCTCTGGCCGTTATCCCAAGCAGGGTCCAGCCTGTGTCGTCATGGGAAGCCCTTCAAGCCCATCACATCCAACCCTTACCCCAAGGGCGCCGCTAACCCCGCAACCAGCAGCTCCCACTGCTCCCCTGTGCATGCAGCAGGCACGTACCCACGTGCCGGGTGCCTCTGCCCCACATTCCCCACCCCACACATGGCACCCAGTTACATCCTGTTACAAGGTGGGCGCTTGTGCAACACCAACACGGTCACCTGCAGCTTGGACAATGCAGCAAGGGTTGTGTAATCAGAGAGATGGGTGTGAGAAAGCCTTGAGCATGGAGATGGAGTCAAAGGCTCCTCCTCGCCCCACAGGGCATCACCTCCTGGGGTGATGGGTGCTCCCTGGCCAGCTGCAAGGTCATGGAATGGTCTGGGTTGGAAAGGAGCTTAAAGCTCATCCAGGTCCACGGGCAGGGGCACCTTCCCCTGGAGCAGGGTGCTCCGACCTAGTCCTGAGCACTGCCAGCGATGGAGCATCCAAACCTTCTCCATTCAACCCATCCCAGCGCCCCAGCACCCTCGCAGGGAAGAACTTCCTCATCTCCAACCTGAACTCCCCCTGTTCCACTCTGAACCCATCACCCCCTGTCCCATCGCTCCAGTCCCTGATGCAGGTCCCTCTCCAGCATCCCTGTACCCCCCCCTTCAGGCACTGGAAGCTGCTCTGAGCTCCCCACGCAGCTTCTCTGCTCCAGCCCCAGTGTTCTCAGCCTGGCTCCTATGGGAGCTGCTCCAGCCCCTGCTCACCCTCAGGGCCCTCCTGCTGCGCACGGTGCCTCCTGCATCCTCCATACCCATCATTAAGGGCTGCGCAGTGATCAGAGCTGGGGATTAGGTCCCTGAGGCTGGAGCAGGGTCAGCAGCACCCTCACTCCCACACGTGCTGAGCCCATGTGAGACCAGGCCACCCCTTTGGGTGGTGCAGCTGGACAAGACACGGGGCCCTTGTGCAAGCTGCAATACCCAGGCCAGAAAGCTTCCCTGAGCACCCTGCAGGGCTTAGGAAAGCAAACGGACCTCCCCCGCAGTCCCCAATGACATTAAATGCTCTGTATTGAGCCAAAACGCTCCCTGTTGAGCCAGAACGCTTCCCAGTGAGCCAAAACGCTCCCTGTTGGGCCAAAATGCTCCCTACTGAGTTGAAATGCTCTCCATTGAACCAAAACGCTCCCTGTTGGGCCAAAACGCTCCCTATTGAGCTGAAACCCTCTCCATCGAGCCAAAACACTCTCCATTGAGCCAAAACGTTCCCCAATGAGCCAAAACGCTCCCTGTTGGGCCAAAACGCTCCCTATTGAGATGAAACCCTCCCCATTGAGCCAAAACACTCTCCATTGAGCCAAAACATTCCCCAATGAGCTAAAACGCTCCCCATTGAGCTGAAACCCACCCCATTGAGCCAAAACATTCCCCAGTGAGCCAAAACGCTCCCCATTGAGCCAAAACGTTCTCCAATGAGCCAAAACGCACCCTATTGAGCTGTAAACCCTCCCCATCGAGCCAAAACACTCTCCATTGAGCCAAAACGCTCCCCAATGAGCCAAAATGCTCCCTGTCGGGCCAAAATGCTCCCTATTGAGCCGAAACCCTCCCCATCGAGCCAAAACCCTCTCCATTGAGCCGAAACGTTCCCCAATGAGCCAAAACATTCCCCAATGAGCCAAACCGCTCCCCATTGAGTCAGAGCTCTCCGGGTGAGCCCAGGGCTCCCGTCTGCCCCCCGGGGCCGGGTGCCCGCCTGCGGGCTCAGGGGCTCGGCCCCGTCGCCTCGGGCCGCGCCGTTATCAGAGCCCCGGCGCTTCCTTCCGAGCCGCTTGCCCAGCACAAACCTCGCGGGGCCGTTTCCTGCCATTGTTCCACCCCGCCGCGGCTCGGAGCTGGATCCGCCGCTATCGGAGCCCCCCCCCTGCCTCAGCGCCGGGGCACGGCTCGAGCCCCCTCCCTTCCCCTGCCAAAGCAGCCGTCAAGCAGCCATCAATCACTGCTCCGGACTCGGCGCGGGGCCGCTCCTGTGGCCATTGGTATCTATCTGCTGCCGGGGGTTCCGCTTCCAGCCCTTTCCACCCCCCCTCCGCCCCATAAGAACCTCGGGTTCGCCCCAGCACCGTGGGAGCACGAGGGATGCTGATGCCTTAACCCACCCTTGGGACTGCCCGAGCCGCGGGAGGAGCCGGCTCCATCCCAAGGGATGCGTTTCCCCTCCTATCCACAGCGGGACGAGGGCAGGATCGATCCCCTGGGAGCGGAGCGATGATGGAGGGGAGCTGTTGGGGCACCTGCGGCTTCCACATGGACACCATTCCCAGCAGCGAGATCAAACGGGAGCGGGGCGCCGGCGCTGGGAATGGAGTCAAGTGTCACGGGCGCTGAGCTGCCGCAGGATGTGGGACCGCGATGGTCATTTCCTGCTGGGAAGCGGCCAAAAAGCCCACCCCGAGCTCCGCACCCGCGGCTCCACTGCCCCAGAGGCGCCCGAGCAGCGGAGCAGAGAGGAGCCCGGAGCCGCATCCGCATCCAGCAGCATCCGACTGCGCCGGCACCTCTCCCAGGACCTGCCGCAAGGTGAGGAGCAATGGGAACGGGGGGCTCCAGAGCTCAGCTCTGTGGGCTGGGGCTCGGGCGGGTGACGGAGGGTTGATGATGAGTGGGGGATTCCTGCTTCCAAGCTCGGCACGCTCCCGCTTTCCCAGGGGAGCGGTTGGGTTTGTGAGGCTGGATGGGGTCCGCGGCATCTTCGCTGCACGGATGCAGCTTGAAGCAGTTAAAGGATGCTCGGGTCAATTGCGTTTCCCTTCGGCTTATGGGTTGTTCACCTACTTGGAAGACCCAGGGGATCCCAATAGGAGCATCCACACAGCAGGGCTTGGAGGGGAGCTGCTGTCCGGGGTCGTCAGCTCTGCTTCTGCAGTGATTGATGCTGCGGAGCCTCAGGGCTGTTGGGTGCTGCCACCAGGCTTCATCCCTCTGCTCCATCATCCCCATCACAGCTGAGCTTTCCCTTGCCTTGCAGCTACCAGGATGGCCGAGGTGACCACTGCCCCCACTGAGACCCACACGCTCCTCAACGAGTACAGGGACTACCACAACTGGTCCGAGCTGTTCCACCTCCTCAACTACACCTACAGCTTCTGCGAGTTCAGCCTGGACGAGAACGTCAAGCGGGTGATCCTCTTCATCCTCTACCTCATCATCTTCGTGGTGGGCTTGGTGGAGAACCTCCTCGTCATCTGGGTCAACTGGCAGAGCCGCGGCAACAAGAGCTTGGTCAACCTCTACATCCTCAACATGGCCATCGCTGACCTGGGAGTGCTGCTCTCGCTGCCCATCTGGATGCTGGAGGTGATGCTGGATTACACGTGGCTCTGGGGCAGCTTCCTCTGCCGCTTCACGCACTACTTCTACTTCGCCAACATGTACGCCAGCATCTTCTTCCTCACCTGCCTGAGCGTGGACCGCTACGTGTCCCTGACCAGCTCCTCCCTCTTCTGGCGCAAGCACCAGCACCGCGCGCGCCGCATCGTCTGCGCCTGCACTTGGCTCTTGGCGGCAGCGATCCCGGTGCTGGAGGTCACGCACATGCAGCTGGTCAACACCGGGGAGCCCATCTGCATCTTCATGGCCCCCTTCGAGACCTACGACGAGTGGGCGCTGGCCGTCAGCTTGGCCACCACCGCCGTTGGGTTCCTCATCCCCTTCCCCATCATCACCGTTTTCAACGTCCTCACGGCCAGGTTCATCAAGCGCTCCAAGCCGGAGAGCAGGAAGCACTGCCTGCTCATCTACGCCTACATCCTCGTCTTCCTCGTCAGCTGGCTGCCCTTCCACATCATGCTCACGCTGCTCACCCTCGACGGCAACCACATCGTCCTCCACTGCACCTTCGCCCACCTCCTCTACTTCTTCTACGACATCATCGACTGCTTCACGCTGCTCCATTGCGTCGTCAACCCCATCCTCTACAACTTCCTCAGCAAGAGCTTCCGCAGCAAGCTCGTCTCGGCCGTCGTCAAGTACATCCCAAAGGAGCAGGGCAAGCAGAAGGGCGCAGACAACTCCTCCTCCACCACGCAGCACTCCATTGTCATCGCCAAGGACAACAGCCCCCCCAACTAACGGGGATCAGGCCCCGGGGCCGGTGAGGTTGGGTTGCCCTTGGTGATAAGGAGGTTCTTTGCTCTTCAACGCTTCTTGGCTGGTCACCTCCTGTGCTAAGGAGCAGGGCTGGGTACCAAACACGGACTGGGGGATGCAGAGATCTTGCTGCAGCCCCTGACCGTCATGGAATCAGAGTCATAATCGTGCAATCATGGAATCATAGAGTCAAAATCATGGAATCAGACTCGTAATCATAGAACCATAGCATCAACTGGGTTGGGAAGACCTCCAGATCAAGTCCAACCATTCCCCACACACAAAGCCTGGATGCTGCCCCTTTTGCCGTGACGCCAACCCCAGCAGGACAGAAGGAACCCTCTGGAACCCTTTGGAACACCCAGCAGAGGCCTCGAAGCCTGACTGCACAGAGCTGAAGGCGGCGCGGCGCCGAGGGGCTGAGCTTCAAGCAGGGCAGGAAGGACTCGGGATCAGCAGCTTGCCGAGGGCAAGGCCAGCAGTAAAGCAGTGCTGGGTGAAGCTGGGTTTGCCTGGGCACAGCCACAGAGGATGGGGGAGCCCCACTCCGTGCTCCGCATCCAACCTGGGCAGGTTTAAGGCCACCGCTTGCGTTCCGAAGCATCCCACCAGGCTCCGGTGGCGCCGGCTCCGTGCTGCCCGGGGAACGCAGCGTTGCTGAGAGCCGGAACGCGGGGTTTGGCCGTGGAAGAAACCCGGAGCATCCGGAGAAAGTTCATCATTATCCGGGCTCCGCCGTCACGTGCCGCGGGTCAGGCCCCGGGCAGGGAGGGTGAAGGAGCGGGTCCATAAATCTCCCAAAGGCCTTGAGCTGCTCCAGAAACAGCGCCTTTAAAAGAGCCAAGCGTAAGCAAATCCCGGGACAGGATGTGGGGCTGCAGGGCGGGGAGCAGGATATCCCGGGGTATGCGGGAGAAGCCCGCGGCCAGGGGTTAAGGCGGGCGCTCCGTTATCACCGGGAGCAGCTCTGCCCTTGGCAGCGTAAATCAGTGCCTGCCGCAGGGCTCCGCTTGCTGCTGGGCTGAGGGTGGAAGCCGAATGCACCTCAGAGAGAGGTGCTGCGGCTGGGGGTGAGGCCGGCGCCCTCGGATATGGGATCGTGGAATGGTTTGGGGTGGGAAGGAGCTTCAGGTCATCCCGTTGCCAGCCCCTGCTATGGGCAGGGCTGCCTCACGTTGGACCAGGCTGCTCCGAGCCCCATCCCTTGAACACTGCCAGCGATGGAGCGTTCACCACTTCTCCAGCCAATCCATGCCAGCGCCTCAGCACCCTCACAGGGAAGGGCTTCCTCCTTATCTCCAAGCTGAACTTCCCTGTTTCAGTTTAAACCCATCACCCCTTGTCCTGTCGCTCCAGTCCCTGTTCCCATCCCAGTGTCCAGCTCAGGGAAGCCGCTCGCGCTGTTCCTCTTCCTTCCCTTCCTTACCCCCAGTTTCACAGCCTGGCCCTGGGGACCTGCGCTGTCCCAGCTCCTTCATCCCCATCACCTGGGCACAAGGCAAAGCCCCGACACCGGTGAACGGGAAGCAGCTTCGCACAGACACGACCCCCAGCTCTGATCCTGAGCCTTCCCTTCTGCCAATGCCAATCCCAATGGAAGACAAGTAACCGGGACAATATATTCAAGTCTAAACCTGTAAAATCTGGGGTTTCACCTAATAAACTTCCTTCTTTTGATAAGAAAAACCCTCTCCTCATGTACCTGCAGCTTGGCTCCCAGAGCCCAGGGCCAGGCTGGCATCAAATAAACCTTCCTAAAGCCCCACAGAGGGAGCTGGGCTTGGAGCCCAGCAAGTCCTTTAGCTGGGTCCCTCCGTATCCCTTTAAAGCCTCCACCACCCCTTAGGGTAATCCTGCCATGGGCTCCTTTAGGGGACCCCTGCACCAGCAGCCCAGGGCTGCTCCAGGAATCATAGAGCCATGGAACGGTTTGGGTTGGAAGGGAGCTTAAATCTCCCCCAGTTCCAATCCCTGCCGTGGGCAGGGACACCTTCCCCTGGAGCAGCTTGCTCCAAGCCCCATCCAACCTGAATGGAGCATCCAAACCTTCTCCATTCAACCCATCCCAGCGCCCCAGCACCCTCACAGGGAAGAACTTCCTCATCTCCAACCTGAACTCCCCCTGTTCCCCTCTGAACCCATCACCCCCTGTCCCATCGCTCCAGTCCCTGCTGCAGGTCCCTCCCCAGCATCCTTGTCCCCCCCTTCAGGCACTGGAAGCTGCTCTCCTCCAGCCCCTGTGTTCCCAGCCTGGCGCGCTCCGGCTCCCGCTGACACCCACCACTGCCTGCAGGGAAAGGGCTCACCAAGGCACCCAAACCCCCAGCGGTTCCCCCATGGCTTTCAGGAGGCTTCAGCTTCCACCCTGCTGAGGAAGCAGCCACGGGAACGGGGGGCTCTGCTCCCCCTGCCACCCTGGGACCCCCACGGGGCTGCCGCGAAGAAGCCGGGCGCCAGAGGTGACCGTTTTCCATTTTATTATGCTAAATAAAGACCACACTTTGTGCTGAGCGATCGAGGGAGTAGAAAAGAACCCGATGCGGAACCGCTGCGGACGTCTACGGGGGGGGGGGGGGTTTACAAAATATACAAAACTTTACAGCAAATAGATAGGAAACACTTAAATATCGGGAGGTCAGGACCTACGAGTCACTTAACAGAGAGGGGAGACTGCAACTCCGCTCTTATCCTTCGTCTGCGTCAGGAAGAGCCCTGGATCTGTCGGGGAAGGGGAGAATCCAAGGGATTGTGGGGGAGAAACCAGAGGAAAACCCCTCTTGAAGCCTTCTGGAGGTGGGGGGGGATTTGTGCTGGGGTTTCCTGGGTGCTCTCTGCACAGCCAAGCATCGCCCTCTGCGATTCCCTCTTGGAGCCTGAGGATCCCAAAGCACCTCCAGGCGAGGTAGGTAAGTGTCATCCCGCAGGAGCACTGGAGCTCCCAGTCTGGAGCTGGGTCTGGGGACCTGTTGGGGTTTAAACCCAGTCTGCTACTGCTGAACCCAGGACAGGACCCCACTGGGGTCCGCAGCTGGTCCCCACATCCCCTCCGTCGATGGGGCTCACCGACACCTGGGATGCTCCCCATGGGACAGGAAGGAATCCAAGCCGCAAGCGCCAGGGCTCCGAGCGCTCTCCCTGGCCCCAGCACCAAACCCAGCCCCTGCTTCCCCGGCTCTGTGTGCAGAGCCCGGCCTTGCTTCGCCCCACAGTGGTTCAGTGTCAAAGCTTCTATTTGGTTTATGTGCACAAAAGGCTTTTGCTTCACAGCTTTGTCAGCTCCGGGAGACGCCTTCACCCATCCCAAAGCTCATCCCAGCCTCCGGGATGCGCTCAGAGGAGCCCAAGGCTTTCAGGACCTGGCTCCCCCCGAGCCTCGTGGTGTGTGTCCCCCCCCATCCTTCATAGCAACCATCACATCCGTTCCTGTCTGCACCAGGACAAGGAAAGACCCCTCAAGAGGGGCTTCCATTGGCTCCTACCCCTTCCTAGCGCACCCCATGGCCTCCAAACGCCTTCAGACCCGCCCCGTCTTCACACCACAGAGCTGAAGGTGCCTCCTCAGCCCATGGAGACGTCACAGCCCGCAGCACAGCACCACGAGACCGGCCTTTGGCAACCGAAGCTCTGGGTTTGGCAACAGCTTCAGTGCCTGCCCTCCGGACACAGGCTCCGGGGGCAGGATGAATCCATCCCTAACCCAGCACCCTCCAACTCTCTCTTGAACGCCTCCCATGGGATGCGCCCTGCGTCCCACTACTTGTATTGCTCCAGAGCTGGTTTCACAGGCAGGGATGTGGCTAAAGGGGAGTTTGCTTTCCATGGGGAAGGCTGCAACAGCAGGAAAACAACCCGGGCGAACTGGTCCAGGACAGGGAAGGATGGGAAGAATGGGATGGATGGGAAGGATGGGATGGATGGGATGGATGGGAAGGATGGGAAGGATGGGATGGATGGGAAGGATGGGATGGATGGGAAGGATGGGAAGGATGGGATGGATGGGATGGATGGGAAGGATGGAGGCTGCCGCTGCCCAAGGACAAGCATCATCCCTCGCTCACTACGTGCGGGTAGGAGCAGCCTCCACCACGCTCCCCGGAGGTAGGTCGGGACCACAAGTGTCACCACCCTCATTTTACAGATGAGGAAACTGAGGCAAAGAGGTGAAGGGGCTCGGCCAAGGCCACAGCTGGGCTGGGGGGGGGGGACACAATTCCAAGCTCTAACCACGCATCCAGCCCTTGTGCCTTCCAAGGGGAAAAGGGGGGGGATGAGCTTCCAGGGCCTGCGATCAGCAGCTCTGTTTGGAACAGCGTCTGCAGGAGCACGGGAGCCAGGTTTGCTCTGGCTGGGGCTTGAGAGCCCGGAGTGCTTCCTGTGTGTGAGGTAGAATGAGGGAGCGAAGGGCAGGCAGAGCCTGGCTTCCCTCCACCGGGATCACGCAGGGAAAGAGGCAGCTCCAGCCCTTCCCGGTGGATGGAGCCAGCTCGGGGGTCCTGCTGCGCTTGGAGCTGCTCCGCTGCCCGGAGGCACCGGGACCACGGGGCACGGCCGGGACCCACGGCAGCGGAGAGACAAATCCTCAAGGGTACCTGCCTGCGGGTTAAGGCAACAGCTTCATCACAGCCTCGTCCGACGGGATCCGTGCTGCCGCTGCCCGGAGCTGCCAGCGCCGGGACGCGCGGGGCTGAGGGGGCACCGGCGCCTTCTGCGGGGTGGTGGAAGTCAGAGGGGACCAAGTTCAGGGTGGAGACAAGGAGGAAGCGCTTCCCTCTGGGACACTGGGGATGGGATGCGCAGAGCAGAGGAGCTGCGGCTGCCCCATGGCTGGCAGGGCTCAAGGGCAGGTTGGAGCAAGCTGCTCCAGTGGAAGCGGTCCCTGCCCGCGGCAGGGGATGGAGCTGGAGGAGCTTTGAGGTCCCTTCCAACCCAAAGCATTCCATGGTTCTTTGACGTCGCACCTGGATCCCACAGCCCCAGCCTGCTCCCTCCCCTGCAGCGCTCCCTCTGCTGCTGCTGCCGCCTCCTTCCTTCCACCCAGGGCTTCAGAGGGGGGCAGTCCCCCCTCCAGGGACGGGGTGCTCACCACGGTCACCATCCCGGGGGGCTTCCCACCAGGAACCCCTCCTCTTGGCGCGCGCCCGCTCGCTCCGGACCCCCGTGATGCTGCGACGTGGACGCTGCTCCTCTCCTCTCCTCGCCGCAGCAGCAGAACCCCAGGGATGCCCAGCACGAGTCTATTTCCGCTTCTTTCTTCGCCTCCTCTCGGAGCCCAGCACCATCCTGCTCGGGCTCTGTCCCTCTCTCGCTTGAGGTCAAGGTGTGAAAAGTCTTAGCAGCATCGGTTTGTGGACGAGCTCGAGGGGAGGGTGAAGCCTAGCCGAGAGGGCTACGAGGTTTCCGAAGGAAAGCATCTAGAGTCCCAAACCTAGTGAGTAAACGCTAAAAACACAGGACTCGAGGGCCTCTACGGGACCAGAGGTAAGTAACCACGAGGGACTGCTCGGCCCGGGCCCGCGGCTCCCGGGCTGCTCACTCGGACAACGCCAGCACTCGCTACAAAGGCCCAAAACCAAGAGAACAAAGAAAAAGAGCGAAAGAAAAAGGAGGCTCCTGAGCACGGAACAAACTCAGCGCCAGTCTCTCCCAGCCGCTTCGCTGGCCCGGCCCTGCCTCGCGCCATCAGCTCTCGGCGTTCTTCTCGGCCTCTTTGGAATGGATGATGTACATGAAAGTCTGCTCGATGGTGAAGTCCGGGGGGAGGCTGCCCTTGTGCACCCCTATGTGCTTGCTCATGAGGTTGAGCGTGGAGCTGTAGTGCCCGCACACCGTGCAGCGGTACATGAGGGCCCCCGAGTGCGTCCGCAGGTGGCACTTGATGGTGGAGCGCCCGCGGAAGAACTTGTGGCACACTTTGCACTGGTAGGGCTTCTCGCCGGTGTGGATGCGCCGGTGGTAGTTGAACTCGCTGGTGTGGGCAAACCTCTTCCCGCACACCTTGCAGCTGTACTTGCTGTTGCCCGGCTGGCTGCGCAGCACCAGCTCTTCGCTCAGGAACTCCTCCGGCACCTTCCTCTTCGGCAGGCTCTGGTGCTGGAGGCGCTCGCCGAAGCCCGGGCGCAGGTCCGGGCTGCTCCCGCACTTGTGCTGGCTGACGTGGTAGCGATAGGCGGCTTCCAGCTTGAAGCTCTGCCCGCAGAAGTGGCAGCGGAACAGAGCCTCCTCCGCGCCCTGGTGCACGACCAAGTGCTTCTCCAGGAGGTGCCGGTCCACGAAGCTGCTGGCGCAGACAGAGCACGAGAAGACCAAGATGCCCAAGTGGGCCAGGCCGTGCCACAGGAGGCTGCAGAGGCTGAGGTGCCTCTGGTCGCACACGCCGCACGTTTGGCTCCTCAAGTTCACGTGCTCCAGGATGTGGTTGCGGACGGAGTGGAAATCCTTGGCCAAAGGCTTCCCGCACGCAGCGCACGAGAGCTCCGAGCCCGCGGCGGCCCCGAACACGGGGCCCTTCACGGGGAGCGGGTCGCTGGGGTGGACGACGACGTTGTTGTCGAAGACCCCCTCCCGTCGGTGCAGGGTCAGCTGCCACTGCGTGAAGAACTTGGTCTCGCACATGTCGCAGGAGAAGAGGAAGATGCCGATGTGGGACAGGACGTGCGTGACCCTGGAGTTGCGGTCCTTGAAGTGGGTCTCGCAGACCTTGCAGTTGCCCGTGAGGAGGTCGACGTGGTCTCGGGCGTGCTGGCGGATGAGCTGGATGTTGGGCTCCAGGACCTTCTTGCACACCTGGCAGGGCATGGCCTTGCTGTCCCTGCTGTCGCTCTCGAAGGCCAGCTCCTCCTCGCTGTCGTCGCTCAGCTCAATGATCTCCGACGGGGCCAGCTCTTCGCTGGCATCCTCGAAATGCAGCTCGTCCTCGGCCAAGTCCTCCAGCTGCAGCTCATCCATCTGCCCAAAGCCCTGCTCCTTGGAGTGGTCGCTGTTGCTGGGACACGAGTTGCTCCCCGTGGACACGTCCAGGGAAGGATCAGCAGTGAAGAAGCTGTCCTTGCTGTAGTCCCCGTTGCTCTGGATCTTATACTGCTGGCAGGAGCTGGCGGTCCTCTGCACCACCATGCTCCCGGGCTGGGGCACCATGCTCGTGGCAAGAGCAAACTGCCCTTGCTCCGGTTCCTGTCCCACCCTGGGAGGCTGCTGCGGGTGCATTAGGGGAAGAGTCTGGCTTCTTTCACTCGCCGTTGTCCTCTCATCCTCTTTGTAGCCGCCGGCCGCTTCCCCGTGCAAGACGTAATTCCTTTCCGGGCCGAAATGCTCCCCACTGCTCCGGATGTCAGCCAAGGAATGGCTCTGCTCCGAGGAGGTGCTGCTCAGGGGCCCCGACCGCCCTGCGCTCACGGACAGCGAGGGCTGCTTCGTGATGGCTGAGCTCTCCAGGTCGGGGAAGGTGGAGTGACAAGCCTTGAGCAGGTCCTCCATGCCCAGCCTCTCTGCCACCTCGTAGATGACGCCCACATTGATGAGGTCCGTGAAGAGCTCGGAGGTGTACACGAAGCTGAGGATCTTCTCGAAGTTGGCCGGGGTGATGAAGTCCACCACGTAGGTCCTGGTGGCATCCAGCCCCGTGTTCAGGAAGAGGTTCTGGAAGTAACCTGCAGCGCAAGCCAGGACGGCTTTATGGGCAGCGAAGGAGCGGGTGCCCACCAGGATGGTAACGTCGCACATGGTCTCGGAGAGCCTGCACTTGTTGAGTTCCTTCAGCAGGTTGTTGGGGTGATTGGTGCTGTGCAGCTTGATCCTCATGCCCATCTTAGCTGCTTAAGAGCCCTTCTCCTGGCTCAGCTTCTTCTTCACGCATTCAGCAGCTGCGTGAGCAGGAGGTGCTCGGCACCCAGAGACTGGCAGGGCAAGGGGCTCTGGAGAAAGGGAGACACAGAATGGGAACTAAAGAACATCACCGCCGTCAGGCCTCGGATCTCCCACCTTCCCCAGGAGCAACGGAAGCAGCAGTGGAGCCGCTTAGAGGGAGATAGACCAAAACCCATCGTGGGACCTCAAAAGCCAGCTCTGGGAGCGAAGGGACAAAGCAAACCGCCACCGGCTGTGCCAGCAACAGCCTCAGGTTCCCACCTGTACCTGGGCATGGACAGAGGACCCCAGCCCCAGGTGGTGCCTGTTCCATGCATTCCCCCCCTGCCCGAGCCAGGGTAACACATCCAGGCTCTGCTCGCTGGCTGGCTTCACCCCCAGCCCCTTCATCCCTTTGCTCCGCATCACTCCCGGACCCCCGCAGCAGGCTTCCAGGTGGGAATCCCCCCCTCCACACCAGCTCCCCTGCGTGGCCCCTCTCTCGGTGCAGCACCCCCCGGCTGCCTGCCCCACGGCACCGGCAATCCCCACCCGAGCTCCTCCTTCCAGCTTTGTCCCCAGCGCACACAGCGGGCCCCAGGCCCTGCATCCCCAACCCCGCACCTTTCCCTCCCTGCGACCCCAGAAGTGGGGCTTTGGGGTCTGGGCTTTATCCTGCGCTCAGGAAGAGGCAAAGAGGAGCCGAGGCCGGGCCGGGCCCCCCCCCCCCCCCGGAGCACGAGGGATGGAGGCAAAGGAGGACGAGGATGGCCGAGGAAGGCTCCGCAGAGGAAACGCTGCACTTGGGCAGCGTGGGGGCATCCCCGGGTCGGGATGGAGACGGGAACAGGGTGGGGGGGGAAGCCGGGAGCGGGCAGAGAAGCTCCGCTGCCCGCGGGGGGGTCCGGATAACGCGGCGAGAACGGGAGCGACGCGGAGGGAACCGGGGACCGCGGGAGGGGGGGAACGGGGGACCCCGGGGATGCGGTGCCCCACGAGGATGGGGAGGGGGGGGGCAGCAGAAGGGCCCCGAGGGGGGGGTAACGGGAGGCCCGAGGTGGGGGGGGCGTCGCGGCGGGGGCCGGCGGGGTCCTTACCCGGCCGCTGCCCCGCACCATCCCGGCTCGGCTCACACAAAGGCGCCGACCCGCCCCGGGCCGCCGCCGGAGCCGCTTCCGTCCGCCCTGCGTGCGGCGGGGACACAGCTCCCCTGTGCGGCTCGGAGGACGCTGCGCGGGGCGGGCACCGCTCCGGTTACCGGGGGTCGCGGACGGCTCCCGCCGCCCCATCCCCGTGGGTTCGTTCATCACCATCCCCCCCCCCCCCCGCCCCTGCCCCACCACCACCCCCGTGGGTCCCAGCGCGGCGCAGCCAAGACACAGAGACCGCCCCGCACGGGCACGGGTGTTTGTTCGAGGGCTCCGGACACCGGGGGTGCTCGCTCGTACACGGGTGCGTGGCCCGACGGCTCCGTGAGCGGCGGCGCGACCGGTGCCGGTGCCCGCACCGGGACACAGCGCAGGGCCCCGTCCAGGCTCCCCCCCCCCGCCATCCCCGGCTCTGCCCGCGGTCACGCCGGGGAGCACCGTGGGCACCGGCCGCCGCTGTCCCCCCCCCGCGCCGGCCGCCCGGGCTCCGCCGCCCGCTTGCCCATGAGCCCCACGAAGAAGTCGTGCATGTCCCCTGCGGAGAGAGCCGCCATCAGCGCCGCGGGGCCCGGCTGCGGCGCCGCCACCGGCACCGGCACCGGCCGGGACTTACGCTTCTGCAGAGCCGCGGCCGCGGGGGGACCTGCAAGAGACCGAGGCGGGTGAGAGAGGCCGGGAAGGACCGGAGGGACCGACCCCCGACCTCCCTCCCCTCCGGCGCTCACCGGCGTCCTCCTCCCGCAGCAGCTGCAGCAGGGCGGCATAGACGGGCCCGGTGCTCCCGCGGGCTCTCCGGGGCACCGGATCCGGGTCGGGCATCCCCTGCGGGAAGCGAAGCGGGTGAGCGGGGGGGAAATGGGTTAAAGCGGAGTGCGGGAAACCGGGGCTCCCCCTGGCGCTTTTTCCCCCCGACGGCGCTACCTGTGCGGGGCCCGGCGGGGCGGCGGCGGGGGGGCGGCGGGCGAGGGCAAGCGGCAGCGCCAGGACGAGCAGCGCCGTCAGCACCGGGCGGGTCCTCATCGTCCGGGGGGGCCCTGGGGGGGGCGGTCAGCGGCGGAGCGGAGGGGCCCGGGGTCCCCCCCGAGCCAGAGCCCCCTCTGCGGGGCGGCCCGGGGCGAGTCCGGGACCGGGATAAGCGCTGGGAAACGGGGGGGGGAATCGCGCCCTCGGGAGGGGCTGCCCCGGGGGGGCCTCTCAGGGGTGTGGAGCACGTTATGGGGGTGCATCACGGAGGGACACGGGGGGGTCCCGTGCCCGTGGTGCCCCCTTCGTGCACTCCCACAGCAGCCGGACCGTGCAAACACCAGCTCAGGCTCAGTCCTGCACATCCACCTGGAGGAGTGCACACACGCGTGTCCCCTGGCACACATTGGCACACATTGGCACACACATTGGCACACACTGGCACACACACTGGGATACACTGGCACACACTGGTACACACATTGGCACACATTGGCACACACATTGGGATACACTGACACACATTGGCACACACACTGGCACACACACTGACACACATTGGCACACACACTGGGATACACTGGCACACACTGGTACACACATTGGCACACATTGGCACACACATTGGGATACACTGACACACATTGGCACACACACTGACACACATTGGCACACACATTGGCACACACATTGGCACACATTGGCACACACATTGGGATACACTGACACACATTGGCACACACACTGGCACACACACTGGCACACACACTGACACACATTGGCCACACATTGGCACACATTGGCACACACATTGGGATACACTGACACACATTAGCACACACATTGGCACACACACTGGCACACACACTGGCACACACACTGACACACATTGGCACACACATTGGCACATACATTAGCACACACATTAGCACACACATTAGCACACACACTGGTATACACTGACACACATTGGCACACACGTTGGCACACACACTGGCACACGCATCCTTGCCAACCCAGCCCTCCCCAAGCCTAATTCAAGCAGCATCTTCACCCCCTATCTCCTCCCCGGTGCCTTCACCACCACCCTCCTCCTCCCAGCGGGGTGAGGATGGGGCGCTGCAGCCCCCCAGGACCCCCGGGTGCCGCAGGGCACAGACCTGCTGAGCCCTCGGGTGCGGAGCCGGGGGCTGAGCAACCCTCGGTGCTTGCTGCTGCCGGGAGGTGAAGAACCGGGGTGCGGGCTGCGGTGCGGGGCTAAATAGGGGGCTCTGCCCATGGCACGTCACGGGTGGGCGAGAGGAGAGCTGCCAATGGGGGCCGGGAGGGGGGTGGCACCCCCCAGCCTGCAGCTCCTCGCCCACACGGTGTCACCGGCAGCACCCGGTACCGGAGCGGAGTCACGCTGTGACACGGCAGGGGCCAGCACCGGGCCCACGCAGCCCCCGGCCCCTCCTTGTGCCGCAGGCACGGGGGGAACGCGCTCACCCGAGCACCGTGTGGCTGCCGGCACGTGTGGGGATGCTCATGGAGGGGACGCACACGGTGGGGACGCGGTGCCCGGGGCTTCGCAGCCACACACAGAGCCCCCAGACCCCTCGGTCCTCCGCTTGGGGTCGATTCAGCCTCCTGGGAGCCCCAGCTTGGTTGGGCATCCTGACCCCCACCCTCCACATCCCGGTCCTGTATCGTGAGCCCTCCATCCCTGCCCTGCCTTCATCATCCCTATTGCTTTCATCAGCCCCTGCCCTGCCTTCATCAGCCCTATTGCCTTCATCAGCCCCTGCCCTGCCTTCATCAGCCCTATTGCCTTCATCAGCCCCTGCCCTGCCTTCATCAGCCCTATTGCCTTCATCAGCCCCTGCCCTGCCTTCATCAGCCCTATTGCCTTCATCAGCCCCTGCCCTGCCTTCATCATCCCTATTGCCTTCATCAGCCCCTGCCCTGCCTTCATCAGCCCTATTGCCTTCATCAGCCCCTGCCCTGCCTTCATCAGCCCTATTGCCTTCATCAGCCCCTGCCCTGCCTTCATCAGCCCTATTGCCTTCATCAGCCCCTGCCCTGCCTTCATCATCCCTATTGCCTTCATCAGCCCCTGCCCTGCCTTCATCAGCCCTATTGCAGAGAGCTGGGGGGAAGCGGAGGGAAGGGGAACCCAGGCCAGCAAAGTGAAGCTGCCACCATCAGCCCCAGCAACAGGCAGCCCCGGTGGCCCGGCAGCGGTGGCTCACGAGGCAGCGCAGCCCGGGGCAGGGCAGCATCTGCAGTGCTGGGGACGTTAATTAAACGGGAGCCTGGCCAGAGCCGGCCTAATTAATGAATAACACCTCCCCGAGCGGTGCCAGGCGCCGTGCAGCCGCCAGCAGCTGCCGTGCCCCCGGGGTCCTTTATGGCTTTCACCCCTCTCCGTGCACAAGCAGGAGGGGCCCTGCGCCGGGACGTGATGCAGGGAAGAGGAGGGGGAAGCCCTCAGAGCCAGGGCACATCCCTGCCGTCAAGTCGTCCCCCCCCCCCACCGCACCCCACACACAAGCACATGCCCCTCCGCGTGCTGCCCGAGTGCCCTGGCACGCGTTGTCACACATGTGTGGTCCCCCCCATCCCCATCCCCATCCCCATGCACGACGCAGCACAGCGATGCTCCAGGGCCCACCGGGGAGCTGGTGCTGATGCTGATGTGATGGGGAGGTGGCAGCTCCCAAAGGTAACGCGGGTGACGTGTGGGGACGGGGAACAAAACCCTCCCTGAGAGCACGATGAGAGCAGGAGAGAAAAGGCAGCGAGAGGAGGGGGGTGGCTGCGGTGTGGGGACCCCGCTCCGGGTGGGCTGCAGGACACGGGGTGCAGCAGCGGCTCCCAAAGGCAGCAGTGGGGAGCCCCCTGCATGGAGTCAAGGGGGGCTCCCGCAGCAGGGCTGGGGATGCTGAGCATGGGGATGGAGATGGGGACGGGGAGGCGAGGACCTCACGTGCCAACCACCCGCGGCCACCCCGAAATTGCCTCTGCGGCAGAGCGAGCTGCTTCCACTTAATGGGAAAAGTGGCTGCAATTTGGGGCCTTTCCAATCACTGCCGAGCCGGGAGCCGGCCGCAATCAGGCAGCGGGGGGGGCTCCATCCTCTGCTCTGAACAACACCCCCCCATCTACACCTACACCACCGTGGGTGTCCCTGCTGCGCCTGTAACGGGAGGGGACCGGACACTGCGACACCGACACCACAGCATCCCTTTAATGGGGGTGCAGCATCTCCTGGGTGCAGGAGGACACACAGGGGATGGGGGGGGTCCTGGCAGGGGGTGAGCGGGGGGTCCCCATCAGTGGACCAGCACCTCCATCCTGTGGCTGCCCCGCTTCTTGCAGACGGGGCCGTTGGTGCCTGCCTTGGCCGACTCCACCACGGTGATGGCCACGTCGCCCTTCTGGGAGCGGGTGGAGAACCTGGGGGGGGCAGGTCATAAAGGGATGGGGGGATCATGAAGGGATGGGGGGATCATAAAGGGATGGGGGGATCATAAAGAGATGGGGGATCATAAGGGATGGGGAGATCATAAAGGAATGGGGGATCATAAAGGGATGGGGGATCATAAAGAGATGGGGGGATCATAAAGAGATGGGGGATCATAAAGGGATAGGGGATCATAAAGGGATGGGAGATCATAAAGGAATGGGGGATCATAAAGGAATGGGGGGATCATAAAGGGATGGGGGGATCATAAAGAGATGGGGGATCATAAAGGAATGGGGGATCATAAAGGGATGGGGGGATCATAAAGAGATGGGGGATCATAAAGGAATGGGGGATCATAAAGGGATGGGGGGATCATGAAGGGATGGGGGGATCATGAAGGGATGGGGGGATCATAAAGAGATGGGAGATCATAAAGGGATGGGGGGATCATAAAGAGATGGGGGATCATAAAGGAACGGGGTATCATAAAGGGATGGGGGATTATAAAGAAATGGAGGGGAATAATAAAGGAATAGGGGGGGCATAAAGGGATGGGGAAGATGCTGGGGGGGGGGAACGGGATGAAGGGGGGACACTCCCAGCCCCCACCCCAACCCCTGCCCAATCAGCTGCCTTCATTACAACCACCGCTCACGGGCTGCAGCCATTCAGGACCGTCCTGCTGATGCCCCAGCGTGGCCACCGCCCTGCCACACCCCCTTTAGCCCCGCCCCTTAATTCCCCCCCCCCTTTATCCCCTCCCTGGCCATACTGGTCCGTGATGTGCAGGACCAGGGCCTGGGCACTGGTGTCCATGAGGGTCTGGTGCAGGCGGGTGACGAGCTCGATGAGGTGGTCACTGACAAGCAAGAAGTCGCCTTTGGCTGCCCCTGTGCAGGTCTGGGGAGGAGGAAAGGGGGGGTTCAGTTGTGCCAGGGACCCCCCCATGGGATGCCCCATTCCCTGGGTACCTCTTTGAGGTGCAGCACCAAGAAGCCGTCGGAGAAGCGGGTGACGGAGACGCTGCGGATGTCCCCCAGGCTCAGCACGGTCTTGGGCTGGGCGGCCTTGGGCTCAGCCAGGATGAGGTGCTCGGTGGTGAGCAGCAGCAGGCGCGGCACCGCCTGTGGGTACCGGGGTGGTGGTGGTGGTGATGGAAGGGGGGGGGGGGTCAGCGTGGCCCCGTGCGTCCTCCTGGTGCCATAGGGCTGGGGCTTCACCTTGCCGTTGGCTCTGTTCACCTTCCTCACGGTGTCGGCCATCACCCAGCTTGTCCTTGGCCACGGCGTGGAGCTTCTGGTACTTGGGGTTCTGTGTCAGGTCCAGGTATTTGCCGTGGAAGGGCTGCTGCAGGCTGGGGGGGGACGGGTACAGGCAGTGAGCACGGTGCTGCCCCATCACCCCCTCCCTGCCAGCCCCCCCCCCCCCCCCCCATCCCAGCACCTTTTGGGGTACAGCATCTTCTTGTCCTTGAAGAGCTCGCTGGCGCAGAGCTTGGTCTGCAGCAGGGCCTTGCGCTGCGGAGGCAGCTTCTCCCGGTACTTCTTGCACTGCCGAGGCAGGGGGTGAAGGACGATGGCAACGACACGAGGGCCCAAAGGGAGCCCCCTCCGTG